GGTTTTAACCTCTGACTCTAAACATAGGTTTTGAAGTATGTTTTTGGCATTTGCAGCTTCTTACTTTGTTGCAGTGGCTACATTTGCTGCCCTTGCTGGGCAACATGTGGTGAGAAGGGTGATAGCCATTCTTGGGAGGACTTCCATTATCATTTTCATACTGGCTTTGACCATTTTTGTCAGTGCAATCAGTTTAGGTAAAATAGCGATTATTATATTATTTGTCGAGAACTAAATATAAATGTTGATCAGACCGGGATAATTTTAGGGTACTTACCCATTTAGGTTTCTTGCAAACTAATGCAGGTGGTGTAGGAATAGCAGACATGATAGAGAAGCTGGAGAACAATGACTACATGGGATTTGACAACCTCTGCTACCATTCCTAGTATCCTGGATTTCTCAGACAGGATGATGATGATGATGAGGATGAGGATGAATACATGTTTATACTTAATTGTATTCAATTTTATGTGCAATGCAAAGCAAGTCAATTATTTGTCATTTGTTTCATGATCATATGGTGTTGGTTGTGATATTTAATTTGTGTATTTCTTATGCCAAGGAGTGTGAAATAATACTCATACATGTTATTCAATTTTGGTATATTCTGAGTAAATTTCTGCTCTTTTTTTTGGGGGGGTTAAAAAACATGTTATTCACCCCTTCCCATTAGTCCGTATGGACAGATCTCGATCATTGAATGCTTGAGATGCTTATTTCGCCAACTGTGCACTTAACTTGCACAGTTCGCGATGCAAAACTCGCGAAATCTAAGTCATTGATCTCAAACATTTAATGGCTCAAATCTTATCACACGAACTCATAGGAAGCAAGTTGACACATTTGATCATGATATATAAATATATATATATAAATTTTAAAAACTCTTGAAACTAGTATATGGAAAATGTTAGTAGTATCTCATATTTTGATCAATTTTGATATAATATATAAAAAAAAAAATTATCCAAACTAATAACCTAGAAAAGTTCACTCAAAATTTAAAAGTCAGTTTAAATTTTAATTTTTAATTCATATAATATAAATAATAGATAATGGTCAAATAATCTAGCATCTTGTGCACAGATGACACTTGAATTGGACTCTTATATGGGAGATTGTGAGTTCGAGCCTCACTGAAAGCTTTAATAAATTGAAAAATAATTATGAACAGATATTATATATTATAATAGAGTCAGCAACATTCAAAAAAAAAAAAAAAAACTTCAACAGGATCATTAAACTCACAAAATTTATACAATTATGTCATTTTTTTAATGTAAAAGTTTTATTACCGTATACTTGGAAGCCATGTCATGCTACTTTATATTTTTATAATAATTTAAATCTTATACACGATTCAAATATGATAGTTAGCCTTGAAGTGTTGTTTAATTGTTTTATACAAAAAAATAATAAAAAAAAAAATTTAAAATTAAAAATTAAAAATTACATTTTCCAAGGAAGAACTCACTATGACTTATTCGTAATTCGTTCAAACTCCAATTTTAGATGAAGACTAACCATTTTGTCCTTTATAAAGCTCAAATACTTCTCTCTTATTCCTCCCAACAAAGGAAGACATCCCTACCAAGGTTTGGTTGGAAGAAAGGTTAGAGAGGAAAGGAATTGTAATTCGCTGGGAATAGAATAAGGTGTCAATAAATTATAAATTCAGGGGAAAGGAATTGTAATTCGTTGGGAATAGAATAAGGTGTCAATAAATTATAAATTCAAATTATAGTGTTTGGTATGAAGATGAGAATAAAGTAGAAATTTAAATTATCATGTTTGGTATGCAAAAATAAGGCATGGAATTGAAATGAAATAAGTGATACAATGATTGAAATGTCCATATCTACTGTTGCTACTAATAATAATAAAAAAATAATAATAATAGCCTGCATGGGTAGCTCAACTGGTCATAGAGGTGAAACTTCGGAAGAATGACCAGGGATCGAGTCTCGATCTATGTTCGGGAAAACAAAAAGGAAAGCAAAAAGAAATAATGCTCTGTCGGAGAACCGAAAGGAAAAGGGGACAAAATAGTAATAGAGGGTAAAAAATAGTTTTCATACTACCTCTTTTTCTCCCTTCAAAATACCGAATTGTAATTCATCGAGGGGGAGGGAGGTCTGAATTAGAATTCAGCATTTGGAAGAAATTGTAATTTCCTCTACCAAACGACGTATTTATGGTCTCCGCAGATATGTAATTCAACTACGCCTAAACTATCTCCAACAAAACAATCCATAAAAATATTTCTTTGAACACCCTCTTTATCTCACATTCACGATTTCCTTAATTATATAGCAATTCCTCTCCCACTACACATTCCTAGTAAAATATATTAAAGGATAATCATAATTCATAACTTCGCTAGAATTTAAGCTCTAGCATATTCATCCATAATTTCTTTTCATACTACCTCTTTTTCTCCCTTCAAAATACCGAATTGTAATTCATCGAGGGGGAGGGGGATCTGAATTAGAATTCAGCATTTGGAGGAAATTGCAATTTCCTCTACCAAACGACGTATTTATGGTCTCCGCAGATATGTAATTCAACTACGCCTAAACTATCTCCAACAAAACAATCCATAAAAATATTTCTTTGAACACCCTCTTTATCTCACATTCACGATTTCCTTAATTATATAGCAATTCCTCTCCCACTACACATTCCTAGTAAAATATATTAAAGGATAATCATAATTCATAACTTTGCTAGAATTTAAGCTCTAGCATATTCATCCATAATTTCTTTTAGAATATAACTTTCACAAGGATTAACTTTGAACGAAATAATCATTGTGTGTGGAAGTAAGGGAAGAAACTTAAGCAAACTTGCAATGGTGCATATTGGATGGAGGCATATGTGGTAGAGGCACCTCACTCTTTTCAGTAATTTGAATAGATAAACGTGCTTATGAGAGAGCATCCATACTAGTTTAAATTTTCACGGGTTTTTTATGATCCAAGTAGGAGAGATGGATGAAAAATAATAATAATTAAATTAAATTTAAAAAAAAATGCTGCATCGAACTAAAAAAAAAAAAAGCAGGTATAACTCGCAAACGGGCGCGTGCAATGGTGTTTGCTGTGCACGAAACTTGACTGATCCGAGATCCGAATATAGGCACGGGTGATCCGACATGCTATATCCTAATCCGATTTATTACTTCCACGGTGTTATATAATTCGGGTAGTGTTAAGGATGTGGCCACCAGATCCGTTCAAATATCCGAAGTATTATATATGTGTATACATATGTATGTTTCGTACGATGTCGTATGTATGATATATATGTATATATGTTATGAAGCATTGAAGCAGGTATGGTTTCCCATTTCTCCTTAGAGTGCAGTCGGTCAGTCGCGACTTCTCTTTTGCTTCTCTTACCCTCTCAGTTCTCTGAGTAGAACTCTGAGATATATCTTTCCCTCTCTTCTCTAATGACTACTGAGCAGTGAGTATACTCTCTTGAGTCACTTCTAGAGTTATAGACATTTTACGATTCTAGTGTTCTACTTTTCTCTTACTTTGTGTCTTTGACGCCGGACGCCGATGGTTCTGTGGAATGTCAAGTGTGAACCTGTGGTGGAAGCCTTTGATGTTACATGGATAAACAATCAGAGGAGATAATTGAAAAAAAAATTATTATTATTTTATTGTTGCAGGCTTGAATCCTATATTACAATTCATTTTATGAGAGAGATGGATGAAAGATAATAATAATAAAATATTTTATTTTTTTTAAAAGCAGATGCATCGAACAGAGAAGGAAAACAAAAGAAAAAGAAAAAAAGGGAAAGGTATAACTCGCCAACAGGCACGTGCACTGCACGCGCCTTGCTCGGCGTTTGCTGTGCACAAAATTCGACCGATTCGAGATCCGAATATAGGCACGGGTGAATATCAGAATCCGACATGCTATATTTGAATCCGATTTATTACTTCCAGGGTGTTATATAATTCGGGTAGGGTTAGGGATGTGGCCACCCGATCGTCCGAATATCCGAAGTATTATATATGTGTATATATATGTATGTTCCATACGACGTCGTATGTATGATATATATGTCTATATGTTATTAAGCATTGAAGCAGGTAGGGTTTCCCATTTCTCCTTAGAGTGCAGTCGGCCAGTCGCGACTTCTCTTTTGCTTCTCTTACCCTCTCAGTTCTCCGAGTTCTCTTCATCTCTGAGATCTATCTTTCCCTCTCTTCTCTAATGACTACTGAGTAGTGAGTATACTCTCTTGAGTCACTTCTAGAGTTCTAGACATTCTACGATTCTAGAGTTCTACTTTTCGCTTGGCTTACTTTGTCTCTTTGACGCCGGACGCCGAAGGTTCTGTGGAATGTCAAGTGTGAACTTGTGGTGGAAGCCTTTGCTTGAAGCCCTATTTCTCCAGGATATATAGGGAGAAAACAAGTAAATCGCACAATCGCAGTTTTTGTTTGTTTGTTTGTTTTTGTTTTTTTTTTAATATTGTTTCTGTGGTTGATCGTTGATGTGTTCTGTTAATTTGTAAAAATGCAATTTCTATGATGAATATTTCATATGTGAACCCTAATTTTTTGGGGTTTCAATATTCTATATCTGACGGTCTGTTATCACTATATATGAGTCCTAAAATTTTGACAATTTCATATATATGATGGATTCTGATTAGGAAATTAATTGTGGAAGTTATGGTCCCTTATATGCTTTATGTGGATTTCTGATTTCTGTTAGTCTGTAAAAAAAATGTAATTTATACGATGAATATCTCAATATCTCATATGTGAAATGTGAGGCCTAATTTTTAAGGTTTTTACACATTCTCCACATATACCATCCACTACTGTATCATTATAAGTTCCTCTCTTCTTATACTTGATTGGTTGAATCTTCTTACTTTAAATAACAAATTCTATAATTAGCAATTTGATAAATTTGTCAAAATTGGTTAATTTTGATTTTTGTTTTTTAATTTTTGCAAATTTTTTATTATTTTTTTGTTGCAAATTTTGTTTCTGATTTCATCGGCAGATTGATACGTGGACATACAATCTTAAGAATATGTAGGTTCTAAATTATACTCCATCTTAAACTTTAATTTAAACTAATATGAAAATTTTAATTTTAAATTTATAATCATCTATATTTTTATAATTATACAAAGCTATTATTGATGTTACATGGATAAACAATCAGAGGAGACATTTGAAAAAATTATTACGGAGTATTATTTTAATTGTTGCGGGCTTGAATCCTATATTACAATTCATTTTATTTTGTTAACTTTAGAATTCATCCAATTCGCTATTGATGGATGCGATGAGATTGAATTATGAGAAATTCTAAATTTGTTTTTGGCTTAGATTAATGAATTGGAGAGAATTAGAATTTAGATCTTACAAATTGTTACACGACACGAAAATAACATGTGAATATTTACGGTTAACGAATTAACATGTTTTGGGTTATTAATGGATTGACCATTAATAGTCTGTTAAAATTTGTGACTTAACATGCCAACTCATTTTTACATTTAAGAACACTTTTAACCATTACTATTAACATTACTTATGAATGTAAAATATTATGGTATCTTATGAATTAAATGTGTTTACTATAAGTGGGTCTATTGTGTTAACTCATTTAAAAATTATGTTCGTGTTAAAAATTTTAATCGTCATATTTATGTAGTTATTGTGTTGACCCGTTACTCAATTCGTGTATCAAATTCTTAGGTCTAAATTAAATTCACATTTTTAATTGAGCCAGTCATATACAAACGAGAATTAATTTAAATATAATACAAACTTAACTATAGTTAGGATCTACTTAAGAATACTTGCACTCTTAAAAAAAAAAAAAAATGTGCTCTATACACTCATCCGTACGGGCCTACGGGGGAGTTTTTGAATTTTGAAAACAAATGCTTTAATTACTGTGCGCTTTCACAGACGCAACTGGATGGTCCTTTTGGTAAATAAACATCCATTCCTAGGGCAATCTTAAAGCATGGGTTTCCCGCCTTTGGTTCGGATATTACAATTTATTACAGTACCTTTTTAGAAAAGATTTATTTTATTAATTCCATTTATAATCCCAGAAATAGTGGAACTGTCGAAGCGCGTGCTGCAGTTGCAAAGGCCGTCTCATTTTCTATCGCGCCTCCATTCACTTCTGTCTGCAAGTTTGAAGCTCCTCACATTCCCTCCACTTTTCCAGGTAAGGATTCCTTTTGTTGAGCAGAAATCGGTTAGAATTTCTTTTTCCCGGTCGTATATTTGCCAGTTGTGTTTTCAAATTTTTGTGCCCTAATGTTCAGTTTTAGTGATATTTTTTTTGAGGGAAATGTGAAGTTTTCTGCTGTTTTTGGCGGTTTATTGAGTCGATCTTGTGTTTTGTTTGTGAACAAGTGTTATACTGAAGCTTCTGAACGGGATGGAGACCGGAGAGGGAGAGAAGAACAAGCCTACTGCGGATTCTCCGACTTCTGTGCTTGAAGATGAGGTATATGTTATTTATTATTTTTGTTTTCGATTTTTCGTGTTTTTAGCAGAGAGTCTAGGTTTACGAGTACTCTGTTGTGTGTTTGGTTGCTGTTATTGTTGATAAATGCAGGATGAAGTGTTCCTTGATGCAAAAAATGGAGATACTTCTAATGTATCTCAAGCAATGCTGAGAGAAGAAGAGATACTCTCTGAAAATCGTCTAAAGGAGGAGGAAGAGGAAAACGATCCAAACAAGACAGATGAGTTGAGCGAAACTCAGTTTTCAAGGCTGGAAGAGCTTCTCACACAGACACAACTTTATTCAGAATTTCTGTTTGAGAAAATGGATGACATAACCGTGGTATATTATCCCATTACTTACATGGAAAATTAATATTGCCTTTTTTTCTGTTAATCATGGTAATCCTTATTTATTTATTTTCTGTGGGATCAGAATGCAGCTGAAGAAGATGAAGACAAAACTCTTGCAGGAAATAAGAGAGGTCGTGGTAGAAAGAAAAAAACCACCTACAACAATGCAAGTCTCTTTATCGTCTAGTCTATGGCTACTATGAAAGTGACCAAGGATATCTAATTATTTCACATACTTAAGATCATATCTGTTTACCAACCACTCAGTTAACATTTTTCCTGTTAATACTTTTTTAGTTGTTGAGTTTTTGACCATGTAAATTATTTTTATTTTTCTAGTGCTTGTTTGGCCTAAGTAGATAAAAGGCAAAGAGATCAAATTTCTTTTTTATTTTATTTAAAAAGAGCTTATATAAAGAACTTCTGAAAATATATTATTTGTAATTATTTAGAATAATTGGCTAATATTGGAACACAAGCTTTTCATTAAAAGGTCTGTCTCCAAGAAAAATCTTTTCAAAAAAACCTCAAATTGGAGCTCAGGAGCTTCTCAAAATCAATGCAAACTACCCTACCTCTTATCTACTCCAAAAATGCACTTTGTACAAAACCTTGTTTGGCACAACGTATCTTTTTGAGTAGATAAGAGGCAATAAGCTGCAGCATGCACTTAATAGGGTGCTGATTATTCACTTAGCAGTTAGCACTGGATGCATACTTTCTAGCTATTTTCTGCTGCATTTTTTTTTTCTGATAGAATATCATGCACACAGAAAAAGGCAAAGCGAGCTGTTGCAGCAATGCTGACAAGATCTAAAGAAGGTGACTCCTCAGACTATTCATCCCTTACTGAGGAGGAGAGAGCTGAAAAAGAGCAGTCTGAGCTTGTACCATTGCTGACTGGTGGGAAATTGAAGTCTTATCAAATTAAAGGAGTGAAATGGATGATCTCCTTGTGGCAAAATGGATTGAATGGAATCCTTGCTGATCAAATGGGACTTGGAAAGACAATTCAAACAATTGCTTTTCTTGCGCACTTGAAAGGAAATGGCTTGCATGGACCTTATCTTGTCATTGCCCCTCTTTCTACTCTTTCAAATTGGCTGAATGAGATTAATAGGTAATTGAAATGTCTTATTCATCTTCTTTTGAAGCTAAGTAACATATTCCAGTCTTGTTAGGATTTTCCATTTTTTATGAATTCAAATTATCTCTTTATATTTACTATTACTTGTAGCTTTGATTCCAATGACTTAAAACCATTTTATCCTCTAATTGTAAGGTTTGTGCCATCAATAAATGCAATAATCTACCATGGTGACAAGAAGGAAAGAGATGAGTTACGAAGAAAGCACATGCCCAGGACAATAGGTGCCAAGTTCCCCATTGTAATTACATCCTATGAAGTTGTGTTATCTGATGCAAGAAAGCATTTGAGGCATTATAGTTGGAAATATCTTGTGGTTGATGAGGTAATGTGCACTAATGCAAAAATAAATAAATAAAATAAAATTGTATATTAAGTTTGGATATTCATCATTTATCATTTTTCAAACCTTAGGCCATTGGTTTGAAGTTTAGTTACTCTGCCTACTGCTGTTCTGGTCTTATTTACTGTTTCCTTCTTATTTTAGGGGCACAGGTTGAAAAACTCGAAATGCAAATTGTTGAAGGAATTGAAACTCTTACCTGTAGAAAATAAGCTCCTTTTAACTGGAACACCTCTACAAAACAACTTGGCAGAACTTTGGTCGCTGTTGAATTTCATTCTACCTGATATATTCTCATCTCATGATGAATTTGAGTCATGGTAATCTTATTTATTTTTATATTTATTATTTTAATTGCAAAAAAAACTTATTAAGCATTTAAGCTACCATGGTATTATTAACTCTAATTCATATCCTGTGGACATAAGTGCATATTTGCAATTTGTCATCTTGTCCTTGGAAAGTTTAGCAATTGTTGGCATGCATTTTTCTAGTGCTTAATCTTGACACTTGAGAATTGCTTTTCTCTTGATTTGGTACAACATTTGATTGTGTTCATGACACATAATGATATATTGATATAAATTTATGTAAAACATGACATCATATAGTATTTGTGAATGCCGTGTTATGACTTGTGAGATTATTAGGTGGCAAGTCCTGACTCCTGACAGGTGGCTCTGTTTCGCACTGCATATTTTTCCCTTTTCTTTCCCCCCCTCCCTCTCCTTTTTGCTTTTTGTATGACTGCTCTGTTTAGAGGGTGGCCTTAAGTCTATACTTTTGTATGACCAGATAACTGTCTTCCATTTACGACTATTTAGGTTTAACTTCTGTGGTAAGGGAAATAATGAAGATTCGAATGAAGATTTGGCAGAGAAGCGAAAAGCACAGGTATGATTACTTTACAGTTTACACTAGCTGCTTGTTTCCTCATCTGAGCTGAAGTTCTAAGCTTCAGAAGTTGGAATTTGAATAATGCAGGTCGTGGCAAAACTACATGGAATATTGCGCCCTTTTCTTCTACGGAGAATAAAAGCAGATGTTGAGCAAATGCTCCCTCGGAAGAAAGAAATAATTTTATATGCCACTGTGACTGAACACCAGAAGAATTTCCAGGAGCATCTTATCAATAAGACTCTGGAAGGCCATCTGATTGAGAATGTTTCAAATAGTAATGATTTTTTTTTTTTTTTTTTGGTTTTGTTTTGTTTTGTTTTTTTTTTTTTGTTTTTTGTTTTTTGTTGTTTTTTTTTTTTTTTTTGTGGTAGGGAATGCTTAATAGCACAGTGGCACAGTAGCAAGATAATTCATAGTGGCTTATCATTCCATTTGATTTGTGAATAAAGGAATTTCTGTTGTATTTTGTTGTAATATGGTGGTGTATATGCAGTGCATGGTTTCAAAGGAAAGCTTAACAATCTGATGGTTCAACTTCGGAAGAATTGCAACCATCCTGACCTCTTGGAGTCTCAATTTGATGGTTCTTGTATGTTTTTTTCAATTTATGGCAGGTATTGTATTCAATGGGTGGTTGCCAGTCTTAAATTGCCTAACTTTCTCTTTTGGGCAGTTCTCTTCCCTCCTGTGGAGCAAATAGTTGCGCAGTGTGGCAAGTTTCAGTTACTAGATAAACTGGTTGGAAAATTGCTTGCTCGAAAACACAAGGTACTAAATGTGTCTAAATATATGCACGATGTGCTTCATATTTCATAGCATTCATATTTTCACTTAATATCTTTTGCTGGCACAACAGGTTCTGATATTTTCTCAGTGGACCAAAATGTTGGACATAATTGAGTACTATTTTAGTGAAAAGAATTTTGAAGTCTGTAGAATTGATGGCAGTGTCAAGTTGGATGAAAGGAGAAGACAGGTAATTGCTATAATTGCTTCACATCTAATTTCTTTGCAATTTCACATCCCTATTAAAATGAAAAACCATAACATCCGTTGGCTGTCTATGGTAAATTATTCCTTTAAAGATTGCATAGTGTTATGGTGTTTGTTGAAGTTCACTCTGCATCTTTAAAATGCATATTATAGTTCACTTACTAACACTTCTAGGTTTCTTATTTTCTATGTACTTTGTTCTAATATTAGGTGAGATCAAAATCTGCTTTTCTGTAGGGTGAATTTGCCTCTTGTTTCTCTCTGTTTGTTGGGTAGTTTCTCTGCTACTGGTTGGTGGAATGCAGAGTTTAATGCTTTTCTTCTGCTATATTAAAATGCTGTAAATGATAGACTTCGTTCTCTGATGTCTTCATGGTTGAATGTTGGAGTTGATTTATCTTAAATTGTGATGATCAAATGTTCTGGGCTCGTTGTTTGAGTGCAGTCAGTAATAGTGATCCATTAAATTATTGAGGTTGTTCATTTGCATTGAAGATCTTTAGTGACAGTATTATAGAACATTTTTAAGTCTATTTATTAGCTTAGCATAGATAAATAAATACTGAGTAATTATTTTTGATATGTTTGTTTGCTTTTGAACAGATTAACGAGTTCAATGACGTGAACAGCACTTGTAGAATATTCCTCCTTAGCACTAGAGCTGGTGGGTTGGGCATTAATCTCACTGCTGCTGACACCTGCATTTTATATGACAGTGACTGGGTACTACGTTGATCTTGTCCTCTCACCTTTTCTTTCTTAGACCACTCAAATATGGTCATCTAGATTAATATAAATCTGCTGTATTGTTCCTTCTCTCTTGTCTGGCATTTATCTTTCTAGACTAGATTGATTGATTAGTTTGGTATTGCCTTTTCCAGAACCCCCAGATGGATCTACAGGCAATGGATCGATGCCATAGAATAGGTCAGACAAAACCTGTTCATGTTTACAGGCTTGCAACTGCCCAATCTGTCGAGGTATGATTGCCAGTGTCTTATAAACCAGTGTTGCAGCAACATGATATGCTGACCTATACTTGCAATGAAGTAATTTGCGACTTCTGTGATATTAGGGTCGGATTCTGAAAAGAGCTTTTAGTAAGTTAAAGCTTGAGCATGTGGTGATTGAGAAAGGACAATTCCAACAGGAGCGAAGCAATCCTACTATCGTGCAGGTTTGTATAATTAGTTTGATGCTTCAATTTGTTTGGCTTGAAAGGAAGTTTAACTCCCCCAGTCTGATGCATGTTATGTTTCAGGAAGAGGACTTGCTGGCTCTTCTGCGGGAGGAAGAAAACGCTGAAGATAAGCTGGTGCAGACAGATATCAGCGACGAAGACCTAGAAAGAGTGATGGACCGTAGTGATTTGGAAGCTGTTCATTCAAAGTTAAATGGGAAGCCTCAGCAGGCATGTCCAAATGCCCTTCCTCTTAAAGGACCCGGGTGGGAGGTGGTTCTTCCTACAGCAACTGGAGGCATGCTCTCTGGCCTCAACAACTGATGTGCTGGTTTATGGTTTGTGGAAGTGACTTTTTTTTGTGGGAGTATAGAACAAGGAAGGTTATGTTATCCTCATTTTCCTAATCTCTGAGAGGATTACATCCAGGGTGGGAATCTCGGTAGAATTTTGTAAATGGGAAGCTGAAAACTGAAGATGGTGCCTGGTTAGGCAAAACTTAAACTTATTTTTGGTGGTACAGATTTCAATGTGAAATCTAGGGTGAATTGAGACAGTGATGACTTAATATCAAGTAGAATCAAGCTCTATCGAGTTTGGCCTAGGTTTTGGATGTTTGTTATTTTACTACCTTTGAGAATGTCAAGTTTGGCAAATGAGATTTTGACTTCTGACTTGATGATCTAATGATTATATTTCTAACGGGAGATGTGGAAGGATGCTTAAGGTTTTGAATGCCTTAACTTAGTCTAAATAGACTATTAATTTAAATATTTATTTTGAAACTCCCACTTGTTTCAAGATGTTTGAGACAAATTGAATTTAGCATAATTGTTGATTACTTATCATAAAAATTATAATACTTATTGCGTAAAATTTAATGTCAATTTAAAATAAATAAATTGTTACTTACAATAGATATAATAATGTTCATATGTGAAGATTGTAATATGTATATGTGAAATGTTATTTATAAAATAAATTATACACCGTAATTCTTATTGGCTATAGCAAATCACATCTATAATTACTTGGTAAAAAGCAATTAAACAATTTTGCCAGGACAAAAATTCCGTTGCCGGGAATCGAACCCGGGTCTCCTGGGTGAAAGCCAGATATCCTAACCGCTGGACGACAACGGATGCTTGACACTGATCCGCATAAAATATATAACACACGTTTCATAATACCCGTCAGCGTTTCTGCTGCGACTCTGCTTTCATTTTTTGTGTATCTTCCCCGTCTCTCTTCTTTCTATCCACAAATTAATTTTCTCCGGCGACTCTATTTTCAGCTCTTCTTCTCAACTCACATTATCTCCCAACCCCTCTCTCTCTTTCTAGAAATTTGACGAGTTATGGGATTATCAAACATTTCTTAATACTCCGTAATTAATTTCATTATATTGGTTTTTTAATGACTGGAATTTGGTTTCCATTTGCTAAGCTGATTACTGTTGTTTAATTGTTCAGTTCCCATGATCCATGCAACCGTGTTTGTCTTGTAATTTCTCCTATTTCTGTCTCAATATATGATTACAGAATTGAACTTCTACAACTTATGGTTAGTTCCAAATCTCCATCTGTTTCTTCTTAGGGATCCCCTTTTCCACCCACTTTTCCTCCATATTAAAACGAAAACATGGTTTAAATCAAATCAATAAATTTTGTCCTCAAAGATGCAGAAAAATTGCAGTAATCTTTAATGTCTCCTTGCCCCAAAAGTCCATTCAAAGATGTTCAAAAAGGCAGTAAGATCTGTCTCTGCTTTGTCCCAACCACACACTACACATATTAGAAGCCTCCACTAATCCATTTTGAATCAAAGAAACCCAGCTATCATTAGGTTTGACTGCTGATTAACAACCACTTTTGTCCTTACTCATGCAATAACTTAGCTTACCTATGTACATCAAAGATCTGTTATTAGTCAAAATATATATTTGAGATTCTTCCCCCTCCATAATGATATTACCAATAATGAAAGTGACCCTAAGTGTTGTCCTTCACTTTGTAGTTTGTATGGTCTAATGGCCATTAACACTAAGCAAAATAGTTAGGTTATTTTCAAGCTTGTTCTAGATATATTATCTAGTGTCATTCTTTACTTCATGGGGAAACACCTTACTGAATGTCTCAGAAGACCAATATACAGTTCTCACAGAGAGTTAATGAGTGAGTCAAGCTCATTGTAAGTTATTAAAAAAAGCTATAGCATTTTAGACAGAAATTTATGGATATAACAAGTCATCAAGATCAATCATTAAAACATGAATATTAATTCAAGTAAAAATAAAATTAAAAAAATCTCCGTAAAAATAAAAGGAAGAGAAAAAAGAAAAAGTGGAGGACTAGAATGAACCAAATCAACATTGCCGTTAAGGTATGATATGAACCACAGCTGCTTTACAGGTTGGTTGGTCTCCGTTTTTGACGGCAAATTATATTTCCGGATTAGGGTTGATTTTACACCGTGGATCCAATATATAAAAAAGGAAAAATACTAAATATACTCGCAAGGAGTATTACTCTGCATATTCTATTCGACAAAGAAAAATGAATGGATATTTTATCGTAGGACACCTCATTGGGAGTAAAAAATTGAGTATAAAATGAGAATAGATGTAGTATTGCTCTATTTGTAGTAACGATTTTACATACATGTAGATTTATTTTAGAAATTAAAAATAAAAAAATAACTAAAGTATCATTTAAAATAGGAAAAAGGGTCAAACAAGCCCATGAACATTACTTAAGAAGTCAATTAGACTTTTAAACTTTCAAAGGTTGAAATTAAATCCTTAAACATGTTATTTAAGAGTATTAAGACTTAAAAAACGTTTGGTGACCTATACTTACAAATCACTAAATTTTCGGCGAAACTGTTGTAGGTGTCTTTTGGTTGCCTTCTCCGGCGAAGGAGAAGGCAACCCATCTGGTCGCCTTATCCGGCAAGGAGAAGGCGACCAAATGGGTTTCCTTCTCCTTCGCCGCATAAGGCAACCAAACGACACCGGCAATCGTTTTGCCTGTATCTTTTGCTGGAATATAGTTGGATCTTGTCGCAAATTCGCCGGGACTCTAGTGACTTGTAATTATAGGTCACTAATCGGTATTTGGCCTCAATACTTTAAAATAATAATATGTTTAAGGATTTAATTGCAACATTTGAAAGTTTAAGGGTCTAATTGATTTCTTGAGTAATGTTCAAGGATGGTCCCATTTTTTCCTTTAAAATATTTCAATTACTGATTTTAATACGGAGTAATATTTTTTTACTCATAAAACAAGTTAAAAGAAAAAAAAAGGTGAATTTTTTAAAAATCAAAATTCACTTTATAAAATAGGCCTTAATTCACGATATAACTACTGGTTTTTGACTGGGATGGTCCCTACTACCACTTTACCATTTTGGGCCCAGCATAGAAGGGCCCATGAGGCCGTCATTTCTGCAAATATTTGGTGGTAGAATGGGCCCCATCTTCTCCCCTCTTTCCGTTTTATAAAACTCTTTCATATCCTCCCGCAGTCGAAGCTTTGGCGAGTCCAGCACGGAGCTGACTCATCATCATCATCATCATCTGTTTCTGTTACTGTTATGCTACATTTTGAAAAGTGATATATTTAGGTCTTTCAAAGATTGCAATTCAGCGGCGTAGCGACGGCGATGTTGACGCGCCGTTTGCCAGAGTACGTGTAAAGCTCGTCGCTCCGTTTTCATCGGGATGACAAACCTCAACAGGGCGGCTAATTTAAGGAACAAATAATGTTTATCACTAATTTTATTATTATTATTAAGATTTCAAGAAATGAATGGTAAGGTTTTACGGTTTCTCGTAAACTTGACAGGCTAATAGTTATATTATCAAATTACAAAATACTTAATGAAAAAAAAAAAAATATATATATATATATAAAATTTAAATATCTAATTTAAAAAATATAATTAGTTTAGTGTATGTTATACTCCTGATTTATATCTATTTTTATATGCTAACAAAGGTATATATTTTTGTATAGTTCAATTTTATTAGATAAAATCATTTTTACTACATTCTTGTTAGATAAAATCACACTTACACTCTAAGCTGGGCACTACAAAATTAGACACGAAAAATAAAAATTTTTAAAGTTGTGCTGATAATAAAAAAAAAAATTATTAACGAAAAAACAAACAACTAGAAAGTAGTGTGACACTGTGACCTCTCCAGTGGACTTCAGAAAAATCTTTAATCAACCCTCGTTTTCATTTCAATCTAAAACAGAGTTTCCATAAATTGCAGCAAAATCCTCTCTCTCTCTATCCCGCTCACTCACTCATACACATTTTCAGGTCTCTGGGAAGCAACAAAGAGAGATTGGTTGGGTTTGGATAAGACTTGAAATGGCTTATATGTGCACTGACAGTGGAAATCTAATGGCGATTGCCCAACAAGTGATCCAGCAGAAGCAGCAGAAGCAACAAGAGCAAGAGCAGCAGCAGCAGCAAGAGCAACAGCAGCAGAAAGAGCACTTCTTAGGCCTCAACTCATTCTGCCTCAATCCATGGTCCGCCGGATTGAATGGCGGTTCTGGTTTGGGGTATGGACTCGTCGGCGGCCATGCTTTTGCCGATTCGTTTCAGGTTCCCGCCGTTGAGCCTGGGTTTCAGTTCCCCAGCTTGGATAACCAGTTGGGGGCGTTTCGGTTTCCGGATTTTGGGGGCGGAGGCGAGTTTGACTCGGATGAGTGGATGGAGGGGTTGATGGACGGTGGAGATTCCACCGGGAGTTCAAATCTTCATTCTGCCTGGCAGAACAACTCGGATTTCACTGCTCTATACGCTGCCGATCCGTTTTCTGCTTCTCCGACTCGACTCCGTATCGCGTCGTCTTCTCCTACACACCTCAATTCCGTCATTTTCGCCGACAATCAGAAGAATCACGCTCCTCCACCGCCTCAGACCTTGCCGTGGTTCCCAACGGCATCCGCGCAACCTCCGCCGCCGTCAGCTAAGGACACGACGCCACAGCGAAACGACGTCGTCGCAGAAGGTAGTTCTCCGGAGAGTTTATCTTCGAAGCCATTACTGAAAGCCTTGGTAGACTGTGCTAGACTCGCCGTTTCGCAGCCAGAGAATGCCGTGAAATCACTGATACGAATCAGAGACTCCGTTTCCCAGCTCGGAGACCCGACGGAGCGAGTCGCGTACTATTTCTCCGAAGCTCTTTACAATCGCCTCTCGAACTCGCCGGAAAAGCGACCGGCGAACTTCGATGCAAGCTCAGAAGAGCTCACGCTGTCATACAAAGCCCTCAACGACGCATGTCCGTACTCCAAATTCGCTCATCTAACTGCAAATCAAGCAATCCTCGAAGCTACTGAGAAAGCGTCGAAGATTCATATAATCGATTTCGGTATTGTTCAGGGAATTCAATGGGCCGCTCTTTTACAGGCTTTGGCTACCAGGTCCGGCGGTAAACCTGACAGCATCCGGATCTCCGGCATTCCCTCGCCGGTACTCGGAAACTCCCCGGCGGCGTCACTGTTGGCAACCGGTAACCGTTTGCGCGATTTCGCGAAAGTTCTGGATCTGAATTTCGAGTTTGAACCGGTATTGGGTCCAATCCACTCGTTAAACGGGTCAAGTTTCCGGGTCGACCCGGACGAAATTCTAGCCGTTAACTTCATGCTCCAGCTGTACAATTTGCTGGACGAGACAACGGCTACCGTTGGAACTGCACTCAAGCTAGCCAACTCACTAAACCCTAGCATTGTAACTCTGGGTGAATACGAAATGAGCCCGAACCGGGTCGGGTTTCTGAAGAGATTCAAGAACGCACTCAAATACTACTCCGCCATATTCGAGTCCCTGGATCCGAACATGACCCGAGATTCGCCGGAGAGGGTGAAGGTCGAAAGCCTGTTACTTGGCCGGAGAATCGCGGAATTGATGAGGCCTGAGGAACAGAGAGCCAAAACAGAGTGTGTGGAAGTGGAAGTGGAAGTGGAAGACAAAGATCACTGGAGAATTCTGATGGAAAGTGCTGGGTTTAAGGCTGTAGCCATCAGCCATTACGCCCATAGTCAAGCAAAAATTCTTCTATGGAACTATAACTACAGTTCATCATACAGTCTGATTGATTCTCCCCCAGGTTTCCTCTCCTTAGCTTGGAATGATGAGCCTCTCCTCACTGTTTCCTCGTGGCATTGATTGAATTTTAATATCTCGATCGAATTTGGCAGACCTCCACTCCCTGGCATTTTTACTATGTGGTGTGGATCAAGCCAGATTCGAATTATGTATACACCTAAGTTTGAACTTTTTCAAGCTTGATTATCAGTTAGGAAGCTCTTCAAGTTCAGATTAAGCAATATGATAAACAAATTAGGGAAGATTGTGATAATTTTTGAAGCTCTTTTGAGTTCTTACAACCAACCCAAGTTATGAATTTGACAGTTTACCAAAGTCCTGTGTTAATATGTGACAGGTTTCTTTATTTTGGTTTGTAGGTATGTGAGTAGTAGGTTTTCTTTTGGCACTTTTTCTTGTGGGCAGGTTTGTTGTTGGGAGGAGTTGAAAAAAAAAAAAAAAAAAGATGGAAATGGGAGGGAATCAACTGTGATTGTGCAAGTGGGTAACTGTGATTTATCATGGATAATGACAATTGGGGATTTCAACTTCATTTCTTCATTTGATAGGGTGATGAACACAGAGCAATTCTGCATTTGTTGCTTTTGCATATCATTATCAGCCTATAGTAGATTGGTAGGGTGATACTAATCTTTTTTTTTTTTTTTAATGAGTGGTTGAATTATTGTGATTTATCTCTTTATTATTCTGTCGAATTAGAGTGTGATCGGTCCTAGAGTGAGTGAATTTTGCTTTCTGAGGACAAGAGTCTAAGATCCTGCAGTAAACTGTAATCCTTCACAAGCATCATTGCCATCAGCTTTCTAGCTGTTGTTGTTAGGATTTATGGTCAACATAATGATTCAAGTATTAATTTTTAATTTAATTGTAATTGATAGGAGTTACAGTACTCAAATAATTGAATATTAAGGTAAGTTGAAAGGAGAATGTCCAATGGAACTAATAGCATATATATATCCGTCATTTATACTAACACCTGCTCGGATTATACCTCCTATAATGAAATCGTTATATCCTACACCACGGCGCACATAGCACTGTGCGCCGCGCGCCTCCCAAAACGACATCGTTTTGGGGTAGTGTTGGGAGGCGCGGTAGGAAGTTGCTGAGATTATGTGTATTTGTTCACAACGTTATGTGTATTTGTTCACAACGTTATGTGTATTGGTTCATACAGTTATGTATATTTTTTATACAATTATGTACATTCTTTTTATACAATTATGTACCTCCGAATCAGAAAATTTGTGTGTATTATGTTAAGAGTTGATGTGTATTATGTTAAAAGTTTATGTTTATTATGTATTATGTATTATGTTAGATTATGTGTATTATCTTTTAAAAAGAGTGTATATTTTGTTATATAATTATGTACATTCATGTATAACATTATGTGTATTCTAGTATAACATTATGTACATTTTTGAACAGCGGATTTTTTTTTAAAGAAAAAACTACTGCCATTCACTGGGACGGGAAATTTCAAAAAAAAAAAATAATTAAAACGACGTCGTTTTGCATCTGAGCGCATAGTGCAACGCGCGCCGTGGTGTAAGATATAAATTGCCCTTATAATGAGGGGAACGATTCCCAATTTGAACCAATTCCAATATGTGATCAGTACTGACCCGAGCCGGAAGCAATCTACCTTTTAGCTCGGTCCCAAACCCTTATGTATAAGGTGTAGTCACTGGGCATATTTACATAATATTTTGTTTTTCCTAACAATTTTTTTCTTTTTCTTTTTCCCTCATTTTCTCTCTAACCTCTAATCCTATATGGCCTATAAAAAAAAAAAAAAAAACTAAAAACTCAACTACTAAAGATGCCATAATAAAAAAGAATACACACGAAATGAAATATCTCCAAGTTAGTATTATTCAAGCCCTAACTTAAGTTGGGCCATGAGAATTCAAAAGATGAAAACCATTACTTATTTTGAATACTATGGACTCTAGTACAAGATAATACTGTAGTCTAAAGAGTCAATAGGTCAGAAGTTCAATATGTGACCTTCTCTTAATGAGAGTCAAAGAGGTGTCATCTGAATACAAGATACTTGACAAATAATGTTTTTTTTTAGAATATCTAAAAGTGAATCTTTAGTATATTAAGTATGAATATTTATCCATGATTTATATTGCAATGTACTGTAAAAATTACACGATAATTATTTCTCATTTGTAAAAATATTTTTATGTTGGAACTATTGCCACTTTGGTCCTTGAGTATTAATTATGTCATGTTTTTATTATAACATTTGATCTTGCCAACCAAAAAATATAAGTTTTCGTTCATACAAGTTTATTCGAAGCTAAATATATAATACTATTACTAAAATTTACCCATAGCAACCGCAAATGTATAATATTCGGAATATCTAGCCATAGTTATTTATATATATATATGTTGCGTAGACGTACGTGGCAGATTGTAGTGGGTGGTAAGTATACGTGTGAAGCTACGAGAAATCCAGACGGGTGGTCAGAGCTGAGCAGGACATTGTTGAGCCTACTATATACATACATCGGACCACCCATCTCTTCTGATATCTATAAAGTAACTAACCGCCTAAGATCAGACGGCGTAGAACATGCTCACCGCTCTCCGATTAGCAACGGCGAGAACCCCACCACCCGCTAGCCCTTTGCCGCACCGATTGCTTGGCCGGAGCCACATCAGATTACGACGAGCTGTAACAACAGGAGCTGCTGGCTGTCCCGACGCCGCCGCCGACGACGACGACATGCAGAAAGTAAACGACACCGAGAAACCGCCGCCGCAGCCTGCTGCCGAACAACCACCCAAAGTCGGGTCTGTACATTATATTTCCCCCATCATCTTCCCTAGCTAATTAAGCACTGTTTATCTATGTGAGCATATATCCATTAATGTGTATCCAACTATCAGTTAATGTGTATCCAACTATCAGTTTAGGCTTTTAGTTGAGATGGAGTACATGCTTTAATTTGGTATTAGAGCCAGACCGGTCATGGATTCGAATCTCAGCGCCACTCGTCGCTCCCATATTAATGTGTATCTAACTATCAGCTTAGGCTTTTAGTTAGGATGGAGCACATGTTTTAATTATCTATTACTATATATGTTATTCAACTATCAGCTTAGACTTTCATGCTTAGGATACATATGAATATAGTGGTTGTTTTAATTATGTGAAGGGACACAATGTCATCGTTTGGGGAAGGATATGCGACGAGGTCCGACGAGGAAGGGTTCGGAGGGATATACGGCGGAAATACAGGGGAAGAAGAAGGAGAGAAAATTATCCGAGGAAATACCCCTGCCGGTAATCACTAATCAATTTTAGGATGTCTTTCATTCATGGATTTACACAAATGATAATCAAAGTTGATAATCTTTTAAAGCACAATTATGAAATTTGATTACTGATTCGAATTAACAATCTCATTTGAACTTTAATTAAAAAAAAATATCGTGTTGTAATCTAATTTTTAAGTTTGGATTAATATTTTTTAGATTTTTTTCATAGTGATGTGTTGGATGTCATCTTATTAGGATATGATTAATTATCTTAATTTTTTATTTTTTATATTTTTAAAATATTTATTCTCATTATAGAGTCATATACAACCAAACATTAATATTGGTAATAATTTTAATTCCACCATCCTATTAAAAATGTATAATATTTTTACTAATATAAAGTATTTTGATTCCCATTTCAATTTTAATTTTCATGTGAACCAAACACACCTTCTCTTTCTCTCTATTCCTCAGCTCACCGGTTTAGTTTTTATTAGGAAAATGACTTTTTTTTTTTCCTCTTGAATTACATGTTTATAACATTTTATTTTTCTTTGAATTATTCATGCATTCACATTATCCTCAAAGTGACAATTTACTTATTTACCTATGTTAAATGAGTGTTTAGACCTTTAAAACTAAGAGCAAAGTAGGTATTTTATTTATTTTCTCTTCTCTATAAAATTATTACTTATTTATGAAAATCAGAATAAATTTACAAATATTACAATTATAATTTTAAACTAATTAGAATAAATTTACAAATATTACAATTATAATTTTACTTATATGAAAATCAGAATAAAGTTGTAGATATTACAATTATAATTTTAAACTAATCAGAATAAATTTGCAAATATTAGAATTATAATTTTAAGCTTCACGTAGTAACATAATTAAAACTTAAATACAAATGATTTATTATTGCTAAATTTGTTTTTAAGTCTTAATGTTGTTAGTAGCACTATGTTAAAATTATCATTATAGTATTTGTAAATGGTAATTTTTTATATTTATTCTGATTTTACATACAAGTAAATTTCCTCTTTTAGATCAGAGAAGGAATCCATTTAACAAAGAAAGTGTCACTTTCAAAATAATTGAGGGATTAATAACCTGAATAGATGAATGATTCAGATGAAAAAAGTGCTATAAACATATAATTATTATTCAAGAGGAGTGTGTAATTTTTTTTTTTATTTAATTGCACTTATTTAAGCTAATAATAGTCCTGTGTGATGTGTAATATGTGTACGTGATTGGAAGAATATGGTGAGAATCAAGGCAGCGAAGTAAAAGAGAAGGAGAAAGGGCGCCACCAACCCCATCATCACCCTTCAACCTAGCTACCTACGTACCTACAATATGCATGCATGCATGGCATTCACTGCTCATTGCAACACAACACAACAAAATACATATAGTTGTTCCTTTTTTTTTTTTTTTTTTTTTTTTTAATGCTCCTAAATTTGTTAGTTTATGGTCATTTTATTTTTGTTTTTTTTTTTAAATATATAAAATAATATATGTGGGTACTTGTTGACACAAGAATCAATTGTTGGCCCCCCACGGAAAGATCTTTGCATTTTTTTTTCTGCTTTAATTAAATAAATAAAATTGATATTTGCATTTTTTTTTTCTGCTTTAATTAAATAAATAAAATTGGTAACTTATGGAAAAAGAATCTAATCTCCAAAGAATCAATACCGAACCATGACCTCTCATTTGAAGGGTTAATTTCTAGTATGGATCATAATTACAGTAAAATTATGAAACTGTAAAATCGGACTCGTAAAAGATCTAACACGCGTAGGACTCAAAGAGATATTGATTTTAATGCCACGTGATATTGCGCTGGATAACCGCCAGAGCAAGTCGGTTAACGAGGTTAAATACTAACCGTAGATCGCTTTCCATCACAATCAATCCCTACCCTATATTTCTCCTTCACATCCTATAAAACCAGCGTTTTCGCGCAAAATTGCAAACGCCGATCTGCGCTACGCAAAAGTCGTCGTCGTTCTCTCTCACGGGGTATCGAGATTCAACGTCTGCTCGTTATCGCGTCATTCATGCCCGTGGCGATTGATAAGGCAAGTTCTTTCTTCACATCTTGAAGGTTCTTCTTTCAGGTCACCGTCGAAGATGTCAGGAGGTTCACCGGCGCGGCGGGGAAGCAGCGCCTTGGACGATTGGTGTCAAAGAAAATAGGCGGATTGTATTTATGGGTTGGTTGAAATATTGGATGTAAAAGGAGATATCGGGGGATTGAGACCCCCCGATTGATCTTTTGTCATCTCAGACCTTTGCCATGTCGGGTGCGCTCACATGGCAGGTCGCAAACTTAATAAAAAGAAACAATTTTTTGGGTTCTGAGGGGGGATCGCACGGGATCTTTTTCGCCCGGGGTCTTCCCTCTCGGTGTTGTGTTGTGCTTGTGTTTCTTTACGGCTCAACTCCCAAACGGCATCACAATACTACAACATAATTATCTGCGAAATCGAAAGGTAAAATTGCTCAATTTGCTTTTATAATAATTGATCTTATAATAACCCTGCAGAGTATATCCTATAATTTTAACAATGCAAATATGAATGAACGGTTAATGTATCTGCAATAACAATTCCCAATACAATGTTTAGCAACTATGTGGGCTGTAAAGCTCTTCGTTTCCCAATTCATCCAATTCAGGTTCATCCTTTTGTTATACTAAGAGTAGTATTTATTTCAGTTTCTGGTGTATTTTTGGCTTGTAAAGAGCTCTGGGTTGTATTTTGAGTTTGGGGTATTAGAATTCTGAATGAATGAATGGAACTGGTGTTTGTGTAATATTGGTAGTAGATTATATCTGTTTTGGTGGAAGAAGACTTGAGATTTTTCCATCAATTCAATGACTTGAAGAATGATGGTGTCAGCAAAGCTGGAAAGGAGTATGCAGCATATTAACAGAGGTGGAGTTAGATGACATATCCCATTGTTTATGTATTTCTGGATCTTCCAGTCATGAGATTTTCATGCAAAATTTTATGAGATTGGTTGATTGGTTTCTATGGATGCTGTTTTGTTTGTCTGGGGATTTTGTAAACATTGTTCCTTTCAGAGTAAATGCAAGGTTCTCTTAATGTTACTGTCAAAGTTCCAAGTAATCCACCATCCCCTCCTGTCACCTGAAATGCAAGCAAGAATGAGAAAAAAAAGTTGTAATGGCTTATGGACAATCATCACCAGCAGTAGTATTGTTCCAATTACTTCTGTAATTTGGTCATTTACAGTTAGTTATTACTCTGTATATTTCTCTCACCACTCATGGATCAGTGAAGGTTTTATAAGAAGTATATTTTAATGGCAAATGGTTTGTTGCAGTGAAGTGATTTTATAATCTGGCATTCCAATGTTTGTTAAACCTGTAATTTTTATCCCCGGAAACACGCGATCTACCTCACTTTTACTGTTTTTGTATTCCAGATGTATTAAAGAAGACTGGTTCAAGGTTGCATCTATATAGAAAAATATATTTATTTGGGGGAAGAAAAATAGTATATTTATCAGAATTTTCTTGCTGGGGAATAGCAAAGGACTGACCTTCAGTACAGTGCAAGTCAAGGTATGCTGTTATAGATGTGTTTTGACTCTTCCACTGAAAAAAAAGAAAAAGTATGGATCATTCACCCAAAAGGTTGAATCCCTAACCCCAATAGCTCAGCATATAGGCCAAATGTTGGTGGTCACAAGGGATCTGTTCACTTTGAGCATAATCCACACATGGCTGCTGTCGAAGTTTGAATGTTGGTCTCTTCTTCCAAATACTGTTTACTGAACCATTAAGTCCTCCTTATACATGTTGGTTGTAAAGTTCATGGTTGTTGGTAGGTTATTTGTCCACATTTCTTTTTGGCTTTCTAAAGTCGCTACGTGAAGGTGCTTACTTAATGCATAAAATAATTTCAGCAGGAAATTTTCATGAGTTAGTTGCTTTGTAACTTAAATTTTGATAATGTTTTTGCAGGAAGAAAGTGGTGAAGTATTCAAAGCAGATCACCAGGCCACTGAGCTAATTGAGCAGCATCTTGAGGTTGAAAGCCCTAGCTTGCTTCAATTCCATCCCTCTAAACCATTTCGGGTCGGATGGTGGATTTCGGGTGTACGTTCCACAGGACCCAACACCTTTCTGGCAGTGCAATCCATTTCTGAAGGAGTGCAGTCCAGAAATACCAGCAACGTAACAATATGGGATACCGGAATTCCATTTTACACTACTGTATATCATGGTTCAAAACAGTATGTGCTGTTGAAACAGCACCGGTTACGTCCAACTAATTATGTTTTTATGTCGTATTCAGTTCATTTATTTACACCTATTCTTGTTTCATTAGAGCACAATTAAACTATTTTAATTCAATTATAATTTTATTTGACTATATATTTAATATGTGAGATATATTATTGAATTTTATTTTATACACAGTTGTAATTTAATTACAATATACTACTAAAGTATAATTTAAATTCAATTACCATTTCAGAATAATAATATTCAAATAGAGTAAATACCTAAAATGGTCCATCGACTTTAGTTAAATTTACAAATTGGTCCTTAACTAATGATTTCAACCAATTAAGTCCTTAACTTTTCAATTTTGACCCTATTAAGTCTCCACCGTTTGTTGACCGTTATCTCTTAGGATATTTATGTAATTGTAAAGCTCCATGGTATAGATTACAGAACACTTATAAACGCATGTCCACGTGTACGAAACATCCGCTTTTCCCTCTGCAGTTAGTGCTCTTCCCCGACGCAATCCTTCTGCTTCAGATCATTGAGTTCCGGTATTGAATCATGATGCATACTCTGCTGCACACCGATATCTGATTCAGGGTCATTTACTCCGACAGCGCGCCACCGAGGTGAGCTGTGTCGAGGAAGTGGTGAAGCACGGGCGCCTCGTTGACGACCGCTTCTTCATAATCTGCAAAGGCCAGGAGCGGTTCCAGGTCACGAAGCTGGCCGGACCAAGCCGTACTTGGTGGCGGAGGTCACGTTGGTGGAAGACCGACCACGTGACGGGGAGGAGGATCTTGAATCGCTTGCCTCCGAAGTCGAAACGTATATGAAAGACGTGATCCGATTATCCAACAGGCTTAACGGCAAGCCGAAAAAGGAGGCGCAAGATTTGTGGTGGAACCTTTTTCCGACGCCGTTCTCGTTCTTCGTCGGAAGCACGTTTGAAGGCGCGCCCAAAGAACAAATGGCGTTGCTGGAGCTGGAAGACACGACCATGCGGCTAAAAAGGGAGAAAGAGCATTGGAATTACATAAATATCCTCATAGATAACGGTAAAAAAGGTCAAATAGACGAATGCCTTAATTGAGTCAAAATTAAAAAGTTAAGGACTTAATTGGTTGAAATCAATAGTCGATGATCAATTTGTGAATTTAGCTATAATCGATGGGCTATTTTGGGTATTTACTCATTCAAATATGTGAGACATGTTATTCAGTTTTATTTTATACACGCTATAATTTTATTACATTTCTACTAAAGTATCATTCTAATATTTTCAAGAAAAAAGGTATCATTCTAATATATTTTTAAATTTTAATTAAAAAAAATGATATACTTACACAGTTACACTATAATATAATAATTATAATAAGTTTTTATTTTTCATTATTTATTTTCAAAAAAAATATTTGTAATAAATCTATTTTTTGAATGCTACCGACTCTATTAGAATGTAGTATATGTTCATCGCTACTTTCCCAACCTACTAAAGGTTAACACCTCCACTGAGGCTCAAACTCACAACTTCGCATATGGGAGTTCAATTCGGATGTCATCTGAATACAAGGTGCTTGGTTACTAATATATTTATTAGAATTAGAATTTTATTTACAAAGATGAGGTCACTTGTGAGATTAAGTGGTTTGTAAGACAAAGAATAACTTTAATTAAGTGGCTCGGGCAATGAGTTAACTTACTAAATTTCATGCTCGCATATTTAGACCATTGAATTTATTGGTTTCAAGCTTATCGCAATTACCTGGTTAAGTTTTTTTACCCTAACCCTAAAATCATGCTAACATATCAGTTTTGAACTAACATTGACATCCTTTTCTTACTTGCACCATGCTTGCCATCCAAGGGCCGAGGCAACATGGTGGCAGCTGCCCCACTGTAAAAAAATTATACAGCCTCAAAACAACGTCGTCATTTTGGGGCTATATATATATATATATATATATATATATATATATATATATATATTAGGGGTGTTAGCAAATAGGATGTTCGGTAAACTACTCGTGTTTGTGTTCAATAAGCGTTCGTTTATGTTCGTTTATTAAGGTAAACGAACATTAACAAACAAAATTTAGAGCTCGGTTTATAAACGAATAGAGTCTGAACAATTGTAAACTCGTTTGCTAAGAGATTGTTAACATGCTCGTCTGTGTTTGTTTAATAATGTTCGCGAACAAGTTTGTTTAATGTTCGTTTAATAATGTTCACGAAAAAGCTTGTTTGTGTTCGATTAATATTTGTTTGTGTTCTCTTTATAGTTGTGTTACTTGTTTTATTATTTTTCGTGAACATAGATTATTCCTTGTTTACGAACGAATGGTAATCATAAACGTGTTCATATATTTGGTTATTAAACATTCACGAACTTGAACGAACATGTTTGCAACTATTAACTAGTAATAATTAATGTGAGTATAGTATTTGTTGTACTAAATGATTATGAATAAAGAAGAATAAAAAATAATTATTCTCCTTTGATGGTCGAACTAACAACTGGAGATGATTACTAGAGGACAAGCCTTTTTTACGAGCGTACAAAACATATAGAGATTGATTATTATTTTATAAGGGAGAAGCTTCAAAAAGGCATCATCAGGTTACTACACATCTCCACTGACAATCAAAGAGCTAACATCTTGATCAAGCCATTACAACCTCTGCTCTTTCAGAAGTTTGTTTCCAAGCTGGGGCTTCATTCCATGTACACTCCCGTTTGCGGGGTTATTAGAGGACAAGCCTACTACTGGTCACAACTAAAAAGGCTAGTTAGAAAACAGTTAGTGAGGCAGTTAGAGGTAGTTAATCAGTTTACTCTCTTCCTCCTCAATGCTCATCTTGTATTCAAGTCTCATATAAAAATGTATAGAATTAGAGCTTGCAATCGAAACAACAGTAATCAATACAACAGTGCTTTCTTTCCTCCTTTGATCCATCTTGCATTTCATGATAATGATCATGATAGAGAAATGATGGGTGTAACACTGTAACTAAATAATATATTTTTAGAGTTTTATTAAATATATTCTTTTCTATTTCATTGCTTTTATCTTTTTATATGGCAATTATGATAATGTATTTTCATTATGTGAGTTCCATCAAGAATATTTGTGTAAAAAATATGAGTACGAAAATAAAAATTGTGAGTAAAATTTAAAAGATCTAACCTGCGTAGGACTCAAAGAGGTATTAATTTTAATGGCACGTGATATTGCGCTGGATAACCGGATTAACCGCCAGAGCAAGTCGGTTAACGAGTTTTAATACTAACCGTAGATCGCTTTCCATCACAATTAATCCCTCCCGTATATTTCTCCTTCACATCCTATAAAACCAGGAGTTTTCGCGGAAAATTGCAAACGCCGCTCTGCGCCTCGCAAAAGTCGTTGTCGTTCTCTCTTACGGGGTATCGAGATTCAACGACTGCTCGTTATTGCGTCATTCATGCCCGTGGCGATTGGTAAGGAAAGTTCTCTTTTCACATCTTTAATTATTGATGTAGTTTTTCTCCGCTTGATTCTCAGATATGCGCTGAAAGTTACGATTTTTCTTCATCTTTAATCTTCTTTTCTCACGGTATAAAGGTTTGTCTGCGTTGTTGTTCAATTCTGTGATTTGAAGTCGCCGCCTTAATGTTTCTTTTCATGGTTTAATCTTGATCCGAGCCTTGAAGGTTCTTCTTTCAAGTCACCGCGTTTTACCTATTCGAAGATGTCAGGTTTACCGGCGCGGCGGGGAAGCAGCGCCTTGGACGATTGGCGTCGAAGAAAATAGGCGGATTGTATTTATGGGTTTGTTGAAATATTGGATGTAAAAGGAGATATCGGGGGATTGAGACCCCCCGATTGATCTTTTGTCATCTCAGACCTTTGCCATGTCGGGTGCGCTCACATGGCAGGTCGCAAACTTAATAAAAAGAAACAATTTTTTGGGTTTCCGAGGGGGAGATCGCACGGGATCTTTTTCGCCCGGGGTCTTCCCTCTCGGTGTTGTGTTGTGCTTGTGTTTCTTTACGGCTCAACTCACAAACGACATCACAACACTACAACATAATCATCTGCGAAACCAAAGGGTAAAATACCTCAATTTGCTTTTATAATCATTCAAATTCATTAGCTACAGAAATCTTATAATAACCCTGCAGAGTATATCCTATAAGTTTAACAATGCAATTATGAATGAACGGTTAATGTATCTGCAATAACAACTCCCAATACAATGTTTAGCAACTGTGTGGGCTGCAAAGCTCTTCGTTTCCCAATTCATCCAATTCAAGTTCATCCTTTTGTTACACTAATGGTAGCTAGTATTATTTCAGAAATTTCTGGTGTATTTTTGGCTTGTAAAGAGCTCTGGGTTGTATTTTGGAGTTTGGGCTATTAAAATTCTGAATGAATGAATGTAACTGGTGTTTGTGTAATATTAGTTGTGGATTTTATCTGTTTTGGTGGAAAAAGACTTGAGATTTTTCCATCAATTCAATGACTTGAAGAATCATGGTGTCAGCAAAGCTGGAAAGGAGCATACAACATCATATTAACAGAGGTGGAGTTATATGACATATCCCATGGTTTATGTATTTCTGGATCTTCCAGACATGAGATTTTCATGCAAAATTTTTTGATTATGGTTAGTTGGTTGCTATGGATGCTGTTTTCATTGTCTGGGGATTTTGCAAATATTGTTCCTTTCAGAGTAAATGCAAGCTTCTCTTAATGTTACTGTCAAAGTTCCAAGCAATCCATCATCCCCTCCTGTCACCTGAAATGCAAGCAAGAATGTGAAAAAGTTGCAATGGCTTATGGACAATCACCAGCAGCAGTAGTATTGTTTCAATTACTTTTGTAATTTGGTCATTTACAGTTAATTATTACTCTGTATATTACTCTCACCACCAATCACTCGTGGATCAGTGAAGGTTTTATTAGAAGTATTTTAATGGCAAATGGTTTGTTGCAGTGAAGTGATTTTATAATCAGGCATTGCCAGTGTTTGTTAAACCTGTAAGAGTAACTATTAATTTTTATCCCTGGAAACATGAAATCTACCTCACTTTTACTGTTTTTGTATTCCAGATGTATTAAAGATGACTGGTTCAAGGTTGCATCTATGCAGAAAAATATATTTATTTGGGGGAAGAAGAATAGAGTATATTTATCAGATTTTTCTTGCTGGGGAATGGCAAAGGGCTGACCTGCATGTCAAGGTATGCTGTTATAGATGTGTTTTGACTCTTCCATTGAAAAAGAAAAAAGAAAAAAGTATGAATCTTCCCCAAAAGTTGAATCTCCAATTCCATGGAAAAAAATATGGATCCTCCCCAAAAGATTGAATCTCCAGTTCCAGGGCCTCCCCACATTTTGTAGGAGTCGAAATATTTCGGAAGATATAAATTACACGGTGACTCATTGGCTCACTAGACAGGGTCGATTTTCTCACTTTGTACACTGTCGTCGTTGAAATTTGAACTTGGTCTCTTCTTTCAATACTACCTCCTACTAAACCATTGAGCTATGCCTCTTTATACATGTTGGTTGTCAAGTTCATGGTTGTAAGTAGTTGATTGGTCCACATATCTTTTTGGCTTTCTAAAGTCGCCCTTGGCTTGAAGGTCCAAATTCTATTGTAGACCATGGTGGTTGTTGAAATGACATTAGTTACGTCCAATTAATTATGTTTTTATACGGTATTCAGTTCCATTTATTTACATGCACTTTCTCTAGTTTCATTACACCATTAGTTAAGCTCATGGTGTAATAAATTCATTTCAAAAGCGGGAAAGGGGGTTCTAAAGGCTTCTAATCCCTTCCAATCTTTACAATGTCGGTTTATTTGCTACCTTTGAACATATGTGACAGTTTAGAAAGGCTAAAGGCTTATGAACCGTTTTTTGTGGGAGAACAATGGAACAGCAAGTAGAGGAATTTCATGGCTAAGCTGGTCTCGCCTCTGTACTCCGAAGTATAATGGTGGAATGGGGTTCAAAAAAATTCATGAGTTTAACTTAACCCTGTTAGCAAAACAAGGATGGCGCTTGATGACTTGCCTGGAGTCTCTAGTTAGCAAAGTTATGAAGGCAAGATACTTTCCATCTACTGATTTCTTGGGAAAGATGGAAAGTATCTTGCCTTCATAACTTTGCTAACTATGGAGGTCCATATTAGTTGGGAAAGATGTTTTAAGGGAAGGAATGGCTAAGTGTAGGATATCCAGGGAGGAAATGTATACACTGACTCTTCTACATGTATTATATGTCCACCAGTTTGGAATCCTCTGCCAGCCAATTTCTTAAAGTGTAATGTTGATGCAGCTTTATTTGCTGATGGTGGAATCAATGGCGGTGAAGGAAGCTCTCAAATGGTTGAAGATCAATCAATTTAATAATGTCATTCTTGAAACTGATTGTTTACATTTCTGCGCAGCTTTTAATTCTTGTAATTTGAACCTTTCGTATGTTGGTTTGATCGTAAAGCAATGTGGTGTGCTTGCAACAGACATTGAGAACCTTTGTGTTCCCCATGTCAACAAGTTAGCAAATCATATAGCTCACGTTTTAGCATGGGCTTCTGATTCTTTGTCTGCCTTAAGTTCGTGATTCTTTATGCCACCGACATGTATCTCATCAATTTTTGATGCTTAATGAAGTTTCATCTTTTCATTTAAAAAAAAAAATCATTTTAATTCAATTATAATTTTATTTGACAATATATATTTAATATATGTGAAATTTGTTTTGAATTTCATTTTATACATAGTGTAATTTCAATTACCATTTTAGAATATATATATATATATATATATATATATATATATATATATATATATATATATATAAGACAAGCTATTTAGTTTTATTTTATAGACACTGTTTATTACAATTTCACTAAAATATCATCATTCTAATATATTTTTAAATTTTAATTAAAAATGGTATACTTAATTATAATATTTATTAGAATTTTGTATATTTTTATAATTAATATTTTCTATATTTTTATTACGTATGATTTTTGACATAGAACAATTGGTTGCCTATAGTTCTCTGTTGTTTACATGACTTTTTGTGACAAATATTAATAATCAATTAATTTTATGAATCTACCAATATGAGTTGGAATTGAATATTAAATGATCGAAAAAGAAAAATAAAAGGAAATCTTCTAGGCAAGAAGTACTAATTAATGATATAGTATTGATTTAGTGATGATAAATTTTATTTAAGATTAATTTTTATTTTTTAAATTTAAGACTAATTTAACTTCTAGTTTGGATCATGATGAGTAAAATGTTAATCTTAAAAGGGGTAAAGTAAATTTATGAAGAGATGAATGTTCGAACTTCGGCGATGAAAGTGTGGAGATTATGCTTAAATTAGACAGATTCCTTGTACGCATCGATATTTGGTTCGATCCACTAAACGATTGAGGTATTGGTTCTGTTTGGCAGAACTTATAACTTATTTTAAGCTACTAATAAGCTATAAGCTCTGTTTAGTAATATTTCCAAAATAAGCTCCTAGCTTAAAATAAGAGTTTATTTTGGAACGCTATCTTGTAGCGTTTCAAAATAAACTCCTAGCTTCCTAACTCTTTTTTTTTTTTTTCATCTTTATCCTTATTATTTTAAAGAAATGACATAATTTACCCTTCCTAATTAAAACATTTTTCTCTTCTCCTTTATCCGCAACTTTCACCGCAAATATTATCAAAATAAGCTTCTACCTTCCTAACTTCTTTTTTTCCATCTTTATCCGTATTATTTTAAAGAAATTACATAATTTACCCTTCCCAATTAAAACCCTTTTCTCTTCTCCTTTATCCGCAACTTTCATCGTAAATATTATTATTATTATTATTATTATTATTATTATTATTATTATTATTATTATTATTATTATTATTATTATTATTATTGCAACAATATTGCTACTTCATTATGAGATGCTAGATCATGATTATCCTAATAGTTTTATTTCAAAATGTTAATTTTTTTTAATTACAAAATGTTAAATTTTAATATGTAAACAAACTAATTTAAATTGTATGAAGATGTCATTTTTAGTCTTTTTTACATTTATCAGCCTATCAAAAAGTTAAATTTACCAAACACGTTCAATCATAATAGCTAGCTTAACAACTCTTCAGTTTTCAGCTCCTAGCTTATAGCTTTTCAGCTAGGTTTGCCAAACAGAGCCCATGTGATTTACATATGTTTGAATGCTCTGTCAAGCTGGGGTATGGGGCGCAAATTATGCCGTGGAAACGTTTTCACCATGCTTTGGGAACACGTTTCAAAACGGCGTCCATTGCCGTCATATTTTTTTTTAAAAAAAAATAATAATAATTACTGTGTTGTTAACAGCGTTAGTCACGATTTTGCAGAACTAGAAAATTCATAATCTCATAACTTTAAATTCATTATCCCATAACAGAAAATTCATAATTTAATAACAGAAAATTCATAATCTCGTAACAGAAAATTCATAATCTCATAACAGAGTGATTGTGAGAATGGGCGATGTGTTGAAGAGAACTGAGAGAATGATGAAAATGGTAGAGAAATGTGAAGAGGAAGTGATATTGCGAAATGTGAAAATGAAGAGAAAAAATCGCGTTGTTAATTAGAAAAAAAAAAAATGACCGGTGAAAGATAACGGTATCACTTACGGGCACCATTACTTCATTGTAGACGAAACTACGCCGTTTGGGATCGTGTTTATCATTCATGGTGAACACAATTCCATAGTATAACAATTGGGTATGGAGCCTTTGGGTCGAGAATTCAATATTTTGGGGAGAAGTAAAATTAAGAAACTGTAAAATCGAATCTTCGAGATTAACTTGTAAAAGATCTAATACGCGTAGGACTTAAAGAGGTATTGATTTTAATGGCACGTGATATTGCACTGGATAACCGGATTAACCGCCAGAGCAAGTCGGTTAACGAGTTTTGATAGTAACCGTAGATCGCTTTCAATCACAATCAATCCCTCCCGTATATTTCTCCTTCACATCCTATAAAACCAGCGTTTTCGCGGAAAATTGCAAACGCCGCTCGGCGCCACGCAAAAGTCGTCGTCGTTCTCTCTTACGGGGTATCGAGATTCAACGACTGCTCGTTATTGCGTCATTCATGCCCGTGGCGATTGATAAGGCAAGTTCTTTCTTTACATCTTTAATTTTTGATGCAGTTTTTCTCCCCGCTTGATTCTCAGGTATGCTCTGAATGTTGCGATTTTGTCTTCATCTTGAATCTTCTTTTCTCACGGTATAAAGGTTTGTCTGCATTTTTGTTCAATTTTGCGATTTGAAGTAGCCGCCTTTATGCTTCGTTTGTGATCCGAGCCTTGAAGGTTCTTTCTTTCAGGTCACCGCGTTTTACCTATTCGAAGATGTCAGGTTTACCGGCGCGGCGGGGAAGCAGCGCCTTCGAGGATTGGTGTCTAAGAAAATAGCCGGAATTGTATTTATGGGTTGGTTGAGATTTTGGATGTAAAAGGAGATATCGGGGGATTGAGACCCCCCGATTGATCTTTTGTCATCTCAGACCTTTGCCATGTTGGGTGCGCTCGCATGGCAGGTCGCAAACTTAATAAAAAGAAACATTTTTTGGGTTTCGGAGGGGGAGATCGCACGGGATCTTTTTCGCCCGGGGTCTTCCCTCTCGGTGTTGTGTTGTGCTTGTGTTTCTTTACGGCTCAACTCCCAAACGACATCACAACACTACAACATAATCATCTGCGAAATCGAAAGGTAAAATAGCTCAATTTGCTTTTATAATAATTCAAATTCATTAATCTTATAATAACCCTGCTGAGTATATCCCCTATAATTTTAACAATTCAATTATGAATGAATGGTTAATGTATCTGCAAAAACAATTCCCAATACAATGTTTAGCAACTGTGTGGGCTGCAAAGCTCTTCGTTTCCCAATTCATCCAATTCAAGTTCATCCTTTTGTTACACTAATGGTAGCTAGTATTATTTCAGAAATTTCTGGTGTATTTTTGGCCCTCTGGGTTGTATTTGGAGTTTGGGATATTAGAATTCTGAATGAATGAATGGAACTAGTGTTTGTGTAATATTGGTAGTGGATTGTATCTCTTTTGGTGGAAGAAAGACATAAGATTTTTCCATCAATTCAATGACTTGAAGAATCATGGTGTCAGCGAAGCTGGAAAGGATATATAGCATATTAACAGAGGTGGAGTTATATGACATATCCCATGGTTTATGTATTTCTGGATCTTCCAGTCATGAGATTTTCATGCAAAATTTTATGAGTATGGTTGATTGGTAGCTGTGGATGCTGTTTTCTTTGTCTGGGGATTTTGCAAATATTGTTTCTTTCAGAGTAAATGCAAAGTTCTCTTAAATGTTACTGTCAAAGTTCCAAGCCCTGTGTCACCTGAAGTGCAATCAAGAATGAGAAAAAGTTGTAATGGCTTATGGACAATCACTTCACCCCCAGCAGTATTGTTCCAATTACTTCTGTAATTTTGTCATTTACAAAGTTAGTTACTATGTATATTACTCTCACCACCAACCACTCATGGATCAGTGAAGGTTTTATAAGAAGTATTTTAATGGCAAATGGTTTGTTGCAGTGAAGTGATTTTGTAATCAGGCAATGCCAATGTTTGTTGAATTTGTAAGAGTAACTATTAATTTTTATCCCTGGAAACATGAAATCTACCTCACTTTTACTGTTTTTGTATTCCAGATGTATTAAAGAAGACTGGTTCAAGGTTGCATCTATACAGAAAATTATATTTATTTGGGTGAAGAAGAATAGTATATTTTTCTTGCTGGGGAATGGCAAAGGACTGACCTTCAATGCAAGTCAAGGTATGCTGTTATAGATGTGTTTTGACTCTTCCACTGAAAAAAAAAGTATGAATCCTTCCCCCAAAAGGTTGAAATCTCCAACCCCTGCCCGGAAAAGTATGGATCCTTCTCCCTAAATGTTGAAATTCTTAAGCCTGGCCCGCGGTCCGACAGAGTATTTTGGAGAATGTAAATCACGCACTCAATAGATAGGAACATTTCCTCTCTTCCTCTTCTTGATCTTAATATACTTTACTTCAACTTAATTCACATTGCAAATGTTAAATACAATAATGTTCAAACTGCTATCATTCTACCTCTTGCGAACCAACGTTAATGCCCATTGACCAGAATTGTTTGATTTCACCATCCTTGTACAGGCCATCGCCGGTAAGGATTAGGTAATATGGTCGGCTGTCTTCTCTTCTTCTCCTGCTCAACCAATACCTCTGTAGTTTTTCCTTCAATCTCCATCCCCTTTCCCCTTGATTCACAAATATCAAAGCTTTACCAAACTAGAAACCATCAAAATATCAAAAATGAATAAAAAAAAACTCATCAAAAGTTTTCTCATCTCTTCTTACCGGTGATCCGGAAGCCAAGACGACTGCCGTTTCTTCTGCTCCGTCTGCCCTTTGATCGCGGTGGCGTCGGTGTTCTTGCAGGAAAAGACCCTCATGAGGAAAGTCAATGCTTTGTTCTTCCTCCTCTTATCGTACCGGCAGCTAGCAGGCTCATCGCACACGCGCATAGACTGGGACAGCCTGCTGTACGCGACGACTCTCGCCGCCTCGGAGGCCGCCAGCTCCGACGCTACAAGCGTGCTGTTACTCCTTCCTACCCGCCGGAACGACGACGCCCTCTCCTCCATCTTTCCGCAACAAATCGCCTCCATTTTCATCCCCTCTAGTTGGCTATACTTCTCCGCTCCGGCCTCTCAGCCATCTTTTATTTGTCTCAGGCTAAAGGTCTTCTTCGTGGGTGTCATGTGTAGTTTCGCGGTCAACTACAAGTATAATAAATATATAAATTTTTTATTTATTATTACTAAATTTAATATTATAAAAAATTAAATTAAAAATAATTTCAGTCAAGTCTCGTTAACTGAATCAAATCAAATTTATACAGAGAAAATATAAAAGATCATTTGTCTTACTGACGTGGTAAGATCCTTATTAACATTAGACATTGATCTTTTTATTTAATGGATTGTTGAGTTACTATAATTTACCTCTCCATTATTTTGTCCGACGAAGATATGAAAATTTTGTTTTTGTGACAAATAAATTAGTTGGGCTTAAATGCGACACTTTTAAATTGCTAACTTTCTATTACAGGCTGCCAGTTGGGCACGTAACTGGCAATATAATGTTTTATTCTACTTTTGAAATTTTTATTATTGTATATTGATTAATTAATTATCAAAGTCAACTAAGGAGGCTGGTTGCTTGCATTTAGATCCAATCAATATTTTAAGGTTTATTCTGTTTTTATTTTATCAATCTATCATAAGGTTATTCTCTTTCTCTCGTTCTCGTACGGTTGAACTTCATTGTCAATCATAAGTATGCTTGCGAAAGGTTTGTTTTTTATTATGATATATATGGAACGTTTAACTAATTTGGTCTTTTAATAAAGATTAATTAATTTAATTATTTTATTACATGACATAAAGAAATTGAGTATATCTTAAGTTATAACTTAACTGGTTAATTAACTCAAAATAAATTTATAAGTTTAACACTAGGTTACTAGTGTACAAGCATTTGAGAGTCTATCGGCTTGTTGAAAGACGTACACTTAGGCATCCGGCGATTTATTCTTCTTCATATCTCTAAGGCAGTAGTGATTATTGATTTTAAGTTTGGGATCCAATCAAATTTATAAGAAATTGAGTACATCACACAAAGTGGGCAAATCCAGGTGGCGACAATGTGAAGATTATGTCAAAAGTGAGCAGATCTATGGGATTATGCCTAAAGTGAAGCATGAGCAGATCCTTTATGCACATCAACGTTACATCCTTCCAAGTTCTAAATGCACTGTCTGGAAGAAGTAAGAGATTTTATAATAAAATGAGCGAAAATATACATTTTTTTCTCTTCACATTAACGGGGGAAATGAATTTGTGATAACTAGATAATCAATTCTTCTTCCCAAGAAAATGACAGTTGTACTAACAAATATCCAAGATTATTGGTTTTTTGTTTTTGTTTTTGTTTTTGTTTTTAATTATTTTACAACTTTTTGAAAGAGAGAGAAAAGTTAAAAGAAAAGAAAAGAACAAATGATGGGTAGTTATCAATTGGTATCGACCCAATGCCATTGTACCTACTCGTTGGATAGTGCTATGTGCACCAACATTGAATTTTTATTAGTTTTCTAAAAAATTGAACTTAAAAAAAAAAAAAAAAAAAAAAAACTATTAGTGATGGTCTAATATAGTTTGTATTTAAATAAGTAATTTAAAGTATATCAATGTAAGATTAATTATATTGGAGAAGTTCATTATTGACATTAAAATTAATGTTTAATTTTTAATTTTTAATATTTTTTATTTGTAATCTTTGATGTTCAACTTTAAATGTTACGTATGTAGTTTGCCTAATTAATTGACTAAACAGTGGTCATCCCTATCCATTAGAACTTTCGATCTCTACTTGACCTAAATTCTAAAAAATATCCAATTTCATAGAATTAGGGACAACTTCATTGGTGGGGTGTTCATTAGGTTAATATTCAAACCGAATTAACTGAGGGTGTGTTTGGTTCGCACATAGGAATCGGAATTAGAATGGGTATCGGATACGGAGTATTTGGTAATGGTAATGAGTTTTGATTAAAGTATTTAAGATGTTTGGTAGTAGGGTGGAAAGGGAATGGTTACAAATAGTAGTGCTTGAGAATGAATAAGGGAATGAAACCCTTATTTTATTTGGGTATGTATTTTTGAATTGATGGAGTATTCGAAACCCATAGTAGTGTTCTAAAAACCTATCAATCAAACAACAACAATCACTTTCATACACATTTCTATGTGCACAACCCACCAACCAAACACACCCTGAATTTTTACAATACTTTAAGCGTTAGTCGAACTAATATTTTTATTTTTTTAATTAACCGAATCAAATGTATTTGTTGAGCATATAATATATAAACATAAATTTGCAATCCAACTTCAGCTTATACTTTTAGTTGAGATGGAGCACATGCTTCAATTGTATTTTCTTCCGTTAATCAGTTAGTTAACCGGATATTTTAGTCTAATTTAAAAAACCTTAAAATTTTATAAATAAAATTTATAAATTCATATTCACACCACAAAATAGTCATTGCATCAAGGAAAAATTGCATATTTGGTCCCTGAGTTATACCCAAGTTCTGACTCAATCCCTAAGTTATGACTGTGTCCAATTTTAGTTCCTCACTTATGAACGAAGTGGCGCATTTGGTCCCCGACCGTTAAAATTGACGGAAAAATTTAAAAATACTTAAAATTTAAGGGGTAAAGTAGAAAATTCACATTTTATTCTCTTTTTTATTTTTATACCAAAACCACTTTCACAACATTATTTTTCACTTCTTAACCTCTTATTTCAAGATTGTTCAATTCTAATTGCATTTCAATAACTTTAATATGACTTGTTAGAAACCAGAATGAAATTAATATTCTAAATAATGTATTTTCTATAAAATTTAAGTTCGATAAGTTCCTTCTCATTGTTTTTTTACAAATCAAACCAGTCATAAGGATTTAATTATTTGCCCCAACAATACTCTCTCATTTGAAAAAAAAAATGAATTTTACTTCATACCATTATATTTTCAATACACTTTCAAAATATAATAATAATAATAATAATAATAATAATAATAATAATAATAATAATTATTATTATTATTATTATTATTATTATTATTATTATTATTATTATTATTATTATTATTATTGTTCATGTCCTATTTTATCTATCATACTTATTATTTATTGGTCAAACCAACGCTTTCTTCTTTGCTTATTTGTATTAGTATTTTCAAATAATTTTTAATTTTTTTTGTGTTTAATAATACTGTTAATGTTGTTTCTAAATATATAAATTTTACATACAAATTCAAAACTTAATATTATAAAAAATTAAATTATAAATAATTTTAATCAAGCCTTGTTAATCGAGCTGTATAAAATAGAACGAAATTATTATTATTATTATTATTATTATTATTATTATTATTATTATTATTATTATTATTATTTTGAAATAAAAAACACCTAATTTTCGGAATGGGGATCAGACTGACACGTTCTTAATTTGCAAGCTTGAGCCATACAAGAATGCAAGCCCATTCCTTGCAGGGAGGGATGGGTTTGGTCTAATCTAATACTCCGTAATAAATAAGCATGGATCAACCTGACAGCCGGAGTGCTAGAAGCTAGTAAGCCACCGCCCACCGGCCGCCAAATTATATCGTAGACTAGTGTTTATCCGTCTTACATGATGAATTGAATAATCTTGATTCAAAATGATCTCATTTTATATTAAGCGTTAATTAATGTATTATATATATGTTTAACAATATTTTTCTATACTATGTTTATAATATTTTTTTGCATTCATAAACTTTACATTAATATACATATATAAACACTCAAATAAATGTACATTATATATATTTCTATTCATTATATATGCCCGAATGTCCACTCGCAAATTATGCTGTGCAACCGTGTGCACCATGCATGATGCAAAACGGTTACAAAACGACAACATTTTATTATGATGGAGTAACGGTGCCATTAGTGACACCGTTTAACTCCACCAATTAAATAATTTTTTTTAATTTTTCTTTACAAAAATTCCAATCGACATGTAATTATGAATATATAGTTATGCAAGTCTGAATATGAAGTTATGGATATATAGTTATTAAGTTATGGATAAATAATTATGAAGTTATGAAATAGTTTTGAAATTATGGATGTGTAGTTATGCAATTATGGATATAGTTTTCTGTGAATAAGCACTTTTAAGAATTCTGAATATGGAGTTATGTAATTATGAATGTTTAGTTGTGAAATTATGGATATGAAATTATGAATGTGTAGTTATTATTTCTGAATGTACTGTTGTCAAATTATGAATATATAGTCATGTAATGCTGGATATATAGTTATGAAATTATGGACATATCCTACTGTTTGAATACGAAAGGAAACTGCCTAACGCCGTTAACGACAATCCGAATAGATTTTTTTTTTTTTAAATGGAACGGTGTCGTTTTACAACCGTGCACAGCATAACGATTGATGTCCACTACCACGCCCTCCTAGCTTTAGGAGTGCCAAGTTGGGTTGGAGGAAGATTTGCTTGAGTGTTCGGGCTGGAGGTCAAGCCGGGCTACGCCCCCCGGCCACTGTTGCTTGGCGACCCATTCACCGATAACAACGTATACTGGCAATAACTATTGCCACTGGCTATCCTTGTTCCCTATTAATTGCACAGTACTGTCAGCAAATTCCCAACTGTTAACTACTCACGTACACTCCCTATTAAATAAGGCTTTGTATTCATTGAATTCTATTGTAAGCTGATACCCTTATTTGGTTATTGACTGTTTGTTTTCATAGAGCAACTAACCTGCTTGCTGTATTTCCTTGTCAGCAGTTACCATGTTTTGGAGAAAGGCTTCTCATCAGTGTAATCAGGAAACTGAATCTGCTGAAAAGGATGCAAAGGTAACAAGGAAATGATTGGAAACAGATAGAAGGGGTTTTGTGTTGATCAGTTTTAATTTGATGATCTTCTTCTTATTACGCAGATCAGGGAATTAAGGGCTGCCATTGGAGCTCTAACGGGGAGGAGCTTGAAGTTTTGCAGTGATGCATGTATAAGGCTATATTTGGAGTCAAGAAATTGTGATGTGGAACAGGCCAAGAAAATGTTGGAGGAGACGCTTAAATGGAGATCAACTTTTAAACCAGAAGAAATCCGTTGGGTAAGTTGTTGACTTGATAACCACAATATTATATTACAAGTTTGATTAGAAACATATTTTATGACTTTCTTGATTTGAATCTATGAAAAATCTAGGCTGGTTTACCTTATTGAGGTCTTTTGCCGATTAAGTCACCCGCACACCTATAGATCTTCTTGGTCTGAGCCCGTCTGCTATGTACAACCTATGTTTGTTTATCTTCTTGTCCTTTACCCATTAAGGTTACAAGACAGAAATTTACCTTATGCACACCTTCGTGGCTGAAGTTTTTTTGGTCACTCAAAAGTTTTTGTCTCGTTTGGTAACGTAGTTAGTTTATCAGTCAATTTTGACTTATTTGACCACTATTAGATGTTTGACTTGGTTAAACAATCAATATGAGTGTTTGATTAATTAGCTTTTTGTAACAACTTATTGCTTCAAAATGTTAAAATTCAAAAAGCTGCACAAAGCCGCTTTTTCGATCAGTTTTTTAGGAAGCCATTTTGCATGTAATCAGCTATTAACTAATAGCTAATTTACCAAACATTAATTACAATCAGCTAATACTATAAACTAGTAAAACTCACTGACCTAATCGGTTAACAACTATGTACTAAACACCCCTTTATTAGATAGATAATTCTACTGATTTTGACCTTTGATATCATATCAGGATGAAGTGGCACATGAAGGAGAAACTGGGAAAATATCCATAGCCAATTTCCATGACCGGCAAGGGAGGACTGTTTTCATAATGAGACCTGGGAAGCAGGTACACTACATCTGAATATTATCTCATCTATCTTATGAAGACAATAATATATATATATATATATATATATATAATATATATATATATATATATATATATATATATATATATATATATATATATATATATATGAGAGGTCTCCTGGGACTAATATAATTGTTGTTTTTTGCATGCATGGTTGAATTGGGACAGAACACATCATCGGGAGAAGGTAATATTCGTCATCTAGTGTATATGATGGAGACTGCCATCATCAATCTGGCAGAGGGCCAAGAACAGCTTTCTTGGTTGGTTGATGTCAGTGGTTGGTCACTAAGCAAGAGTGTTTCCATCAAAACAGCACGAGATCTTGCCTACATATTACAGAACCACTACCCACAAAGAATTGCATTAATAGTTTTCTATAACCCACCAAGAATTTTTGAGGCATTCTGGAAGGTATACATCTATATATATATATATATATTTATATATATATATATATATACACATATATTTTATTTTTCATGAGGAAATTAAAACCCACATGCCGTCACTATCTGAAGATATGAATTGAGTAAACTAGTCGACAAAGAATCAGCTTAGTTTATTTGTTCACCTGATCAGCTTAAGTCTCTATTCGAGGGTGTGCATTGGGTAAGCCTCCTAGATTGTCCATAGCTGATCAGCTTAAGTCTTGCTCGATCCAGGCCTTGAGGGTGTGCACAAGTAAATTTCCTAGGTTGTTAATAGTTGACCAGCTTAAGTCACTCTGTCCCGTTATCCTAACCAGCAAAGAACCAACTAACCTAGGTTTTTCACAGAGAGTCGAATTTGAAACCTTATAGTTACTAAATGACAGACTAACTTGGTTGAGGTTGTCCCATATGTGGGTTAGAGCAATAGGGTGCAGTTCTCACTGCATGTCTGCATTATTGTCTGTTTGGTCCAATGTTTTTGTCAATGATTTTGCATACACATCTGCAGGTTGTGAAGTGTTTTGCGGATCCAAGAACATTTCAGAGGATAAAGTTTGTGTACCCAAATAATAAAGACAGTATGGAGGTGATGAAATCCTTTTTTGATTCTGAAAACCTCCCCAAAGAGTTTGGGGGAAAAGTCACCTGGAAATATGATCATGAAGAATTTTCAAAGTTGATGACTCAGGAGGATGTAAAGACTGCAAAATTTTGGGGATTTGATGATATGCACACTACTGCTGCAATGGTAGTCAAAACTTGAACAATATCAACCTTCAAACCCACTTATTATTGCCCAATTCCCTGTAAATTGGGCATATAGAAGGCCATCATGCATAACCAAAAGGAGTTTATTGCGTTTTTAATCACTCAAATATAATAACATTTTCGTTTTTTGTTCTCAACTTTGATTTGTTTCACTTGGTCATGTCTCATTGTCACTAAATCAAAATTATTAGTTTAGTTATTGTCACTCTCTACCAAACAAAGAGTTTTTTCTACTTAAACACATTATCATCGTCAATTATTTGATTCTCATTATTATTTCGATTTCAATGTTTGAATGCACTCTAAATTTTTTAACAGGCTGATAATTGCCAAATATACGACTAATTAGACCAAATGTGACAAGAAAACCATGCTTAGCTCTTGTGCACCAAAATATATAAATAGGAATAAAACCGGTATAACATTTTGACTATTGGGCCTTTTAAATCCATAGTAACCACAGAATGTTGTGGATATGTTAATGAAACTTGGATTTTTGAGTTAACTAGTCTGCCGTTACGAAGGATTCTCATTTTCGTTGCTCATATGTAGCAGTCAAGTAGTCAACCAATAAGACATGACTTACAATATTGTAGACTTGTAGTCCTAAGTCCGTTTTTTCCGCAAACATGTCGTGCTATGGGTAACGTTCCATTAGAACTTTGGATCTCCACTTGACCCAAATTCTAAAAGATATCCAATTTCAAACTTCATGGCTTGATAACAAACAAATTAGGAGACGATCGACTTTAATTTTTTGCGTTTTTTTTTTTGCCTTTTTTGTTTTTTTTTTTTATTTGATTGACTTAGCATTGGTCTAAACATTGTTATACCAGGAATCATAGTCTACATTCGAAAGTGAACCAAATTAATATTTTTTATTTTTATACAAATAAAAATAATATATAAAAAAATATTAATTAAAAAGCTCTAATTAAAATATTTTAAATCGCACATATATTGATATTTTTTTTTTTAACTAAATAGGCCATTGAACTATTTGGGGATAGCAATTAAGCTACCAAACTCGAATAAGCTCCAAATTCATCAATGAATCTGGAAAAACGTGCAATTAGCATTTCTAACAGGTTAACAACAAGTTTGGTTGCCATGTGTATATTTTATTTTATATTTTATTATTTTTATTATCCTACTAAGCATTTAACCCTCTTCCTTGATGTCATGTTTTCCTGATGTTATTTCCTGACGTGTCGAGTACTGTATTTAAAAACATCAATTTGCAATTACCATTTTAAGACAATTCTCTTTTGCCTCGCCAAAAGCCATAGTCTCTCTTTCACAATCTAAGGATGATGTATAGGATGTAGCCATTATGTTTTCCTTCAAAATAAAGAAGATGAAGATCGGCAATGGATGTCGTGTTGAAGATGGCCCACAGATGTGTTTTCCTCTTGTTCGCAGATTAGGGTTCGTGACGGGAAATTGGGGGTTTTGTTTTGTTTGATTTTTCGCACTAGTCAGAATAAGAGAAGCGGTCTACGATTGCAAGTTTAAGCCAAATGTCGATTTTAGCCCTGCTAAAAATGGAGAATTTTTCCTCCGGTGAAATGTTTGACGGAAAATTAGCTGGAAGGACCATTTTTGCAAAAAAAAAAAAAAAAAAAAAAAACAAAACAAAAAAAAACAAAACAAAACAAAACAAAACAATAGTCGTGGACTAAGAAGGGAATGAGAGAGTCACCTGCAGGGGAAAAAAGGGATGCAATATAAAATAAAGACTTATAATTTTGGTAGTCATCAACTCATTGTATTTATAGGTGAAAAATATGAGAATTATAAATTTATAAAATTTTTCAAAAAGAAATTAAATTTTATTTATTTATTTAAAGTATTGCCCTAATCAATTCATTATATTAATATTTATAATTAATCTTATTCCTAATTAATTCATAATATTGATATTATTAAATTTCTATTTTTCATTTGCTTACCAAATAAGCTTTATTAATTATTTGACAAATAAAATATAAAATATTTAATTAATTTGACTACAAAAGTTTAGGTGGGAAAATGAAATAGGATGATTTTACATATATATATATATATATATATATATATATATATATATATATATATATATATATATATATATATATATATATATATATATATATATATATATATATATATATATATATATAACTTTCAAGTAGGAATTTATTTCCACCTAATAAACCACGTTAGAGCATTATCTACATTATTGGAAAGTAACTAATTGTTTGAGATAATTGCACGATATTTTTTATATTCAATGATCTCATAGTAATTTTTTAAAGTTGAGTGATTTGATTTTATTTTCGTCCTATTTGACCATTTTATTTCAAAAGTAATAATAATAATAATAAATCTTTGCTGGCTTTGTCTAAAGCACATGTTTTCAAAGTAAAAGTCAAACTGTGTGTTATAACAAACGTTTAGTCAACGAAAGGATTGTACCGGTAGCAATATAATGACAGTTAATTTCGCCATTTGGGAGCCATAACTAAGCATTCATCAATCATCACCAACCTGTACCCAGAAAGCCCCCACCCACTAGATCCATATTCATTATCTTCTCAAAGGGTAATTCTCTATTCTTTACTGGATCGATCTTATTTACCGTAATTTGATGATATATACCCTTTTTTGGTTGTTTTTATATCTTCCATATATCTATACTACCTGTTTTCTTGAACTACTTCTCATGCTTAATATTTGCTCTCTTGGATAGCAGTTAGCATGTTTTGGAGAAAGACTTCTCACAGTGATAAGGAAACTGAATCTGCTGAAAAGGATGCAAAGGTAACTGCAAGAAAATGATTGGGGCCACTTTGATCTCATATATGTTCCTGAGATACTGACATTATATTGTTGCATGCTTGTATGTATTAGATGCACACTAGATATAATCAAGAAAGGTTAAAGATAAGTTTTCTTTTGATAAGTTTTCTTCGAGGTAAACTAGCCTAGTTACCCATAGTTGACTGGTCTATAAATCGATCTCGCTCGATATGTGTTGAATTTGTGATCTTATAATTATAAAGTTAACAGTTTGACCAACTTGGCTCTTGGCTCGGGTTGTCCTATCAATTTTCTTCTTATAAGCAGCGATAATGGAACTTGTGAAGTTGTCAAGGTTTATGCAGCAGAACTGTACTGAATGTCTTAATGAATACAGATCAGGGAATTGAGGGCTGCCATTGGAGCTCTAACGGGGAGGAGCTTCAAGTTTTGCAATGATGCATGTATAGGGCTATATTTGGAGGCAAGAAATTGGGATGTGGAGCAGGCAAAGAAAATGTTGGAGGAGACGCTCAAATGGAGATCAACTTATAAACCAGAAGAAATCCGTTGGGTAATTAAGCTGCCATTGATTTACATCTTTCATTGCTCTTTCTGGGCTTCATTCATGTTTCTGATCTTCAAGAGAAATTAAGCAAAAATACTGTTGAATCAGCTATTCTCAGATATTTTGCAGATACTCCTGCAACAGTTTTTTTTTTTTAAGAGTTAACCTCATCTGGATCCTCCGAATATAGTGGTTTGATCATAAACTTTCAAATTAATCATATATAGTCATTCAACTTTCAAAAGTTGTGGTACTTTTAGAAGGACCACAATTGATTAAAATTTGGAAGTTAAAGGACCACAATTGATTAAAATTTAGAAGTTAAAGAACCACGGCAGATTAACTAGAAAGTTGAAGGACCATAGTTGGTTAAAATTTAAAAGTTAAAGAACCACAGCAGATTAACTAGAAAGTTGAAGGACCTCAGTTGGTTAAAATTTAAAAATTGAAAGACCATAGATAATTAACTTAAAAGTTTATAACTAAACGTGCAAAACCATTATATTCGAAGGATCCCAAATGCCATTAACTCGTTTTTTTTTTAATTAGATCGACAATTCTTATGATCATGATCTTTCCCTTTGATGTCATATCAGCATGAAGTGGCACACGAAGGAGAAACTGGTAAAGCATCCATAGCCAATTTTCATGACCGGCAGGGGAGGACTGTACTCATAATGAGGCCTGGGAAGCAGGTACACATCTATCTTAGACAGACAGCAAATTTAAAGTGTACACCGATATTAGTATTTTTTTTATTTTTTATTTACATCAAGTATAAGAGCATCACCAACAAATATTTTTTGATAATTTTTTTTTTTAAAATATTGTTTTCATGTTTGGGACAGAACACATCATCTGCAGAAGGTAGTGCTCGTCATCTAGTGTATCTGATGGAGAATGCCATCATGAACCTGCCAGAGGGCCAAGAACAGATGTCATGGTTGGTTGATTTCAATGGCTGGTCACTAAGAAAGGTTCCCATTAAAACAGCACGAGACATCATCTACTTATTGCAGAACCACTACCCAGAAAGGCTTGGATTAATAGTTCTTTATAGCCCACCAGGAGTTTTTGAGGCATTCTGGAAGGTGATTGATTGCTCATTTGCTACAAAACTGATAATAAAATATAAGAATTAAAGTGCTGATTTGGTCAATTGTGGCATCCCACTTTTGGTACAGTGCCAAATTCATTGACAAATGATTTTGCATCCATCTCTGCAGATTGTAAAGTACTTTGTGGATCCAAAAACATCACAGAAGATAAAGTTTGTGTACCCAAATAATCAAGATAGTATGGAGGTCATGAAAACCTGTTTTGATTCTGAAAACCTTCCCAGAGAGTTTGGGGGGAAAACCACCTTGAAATATGATCATGAAGAATTCTCGAGGTTGATGACACAGGAGGATGTAAAGACTGCAAAATTTTGGGGATTTGATGATGTACACTACCACGATGCTGATGAACACTTGAGAAATGCCGAGCCGGAGCCAGTGAGTATTGCCCAACCTGAAAACTGAGCATGTAGAAGTGATGTGTGTAAAATCCTTACAGTGGTATAACATTTTGATTCTTTAGGTTTTTATTCCTCTAGTAACCAAGTAAGATTGCAAGCAAAAGATGTCAATTTCGTTCAAGAACCCACATAAGCTTCAAGCTGGTTTCAGTTTTATACACTACTACAGATATAATGCAAACAGTGAAGTACAACAAACCGGCTGAGACTCTCCAATTACATGTATGAAACACGTTCTGGTTCCCGATGCTTACACAAGGGCTAAACAGGGCTGTCGATATAATACACTGGCAGAGATTAAATTTCACTTGAGTAAAGGCACTCGTCGACAAGTTGGCGAAGGTTTGGGATCTCCAGTGCAGCAGCAATTCTTTCCTTATCGTTTAACTGCTTATTTACTGCATCATAATTCATAAAAGAATGTTAAGAGTTTGATAATAGTAGACTGAGTGGCCTAAGATGTGGTGATTGGTGGATTGGGGAACTTCTCTTTTCAAGTGTTAAGCATGCATTTAGTATTACTACAGAAGTCCATTGTTGCCAATTTTGTCTTATGATGCATGAAGTTCATTTTGTATCTCGCTCTCAAGATAAGCAGTTAAGCAACACCCGCAATTAGATATATCACACGCATTCTGAGGTATGTTCAAATTCACCTGATTCTTCATCAGCATGAGATCCAGGAGCCACTTTTATGTCTACCTGAGAGAGCATAAATTTAAAAGAGTCATGAGTTTCACATATTTCATGATATTGAAACAGAACTGCAATACAAAGCGGCATTATGGTTTATGACCCTGTCCCTGGAACTGCAAATGGACCTAACAATAGAGCTGTCAGTTTATGTAGAGGTTTATAATACAACCTTGTAATGTGGAGGGAAACAATTCTTCAGTTTCTCTCTCAAGCACAGGCCAATTACAGTTGCCATACTGCAATGCTGGATGGTTGGTGTGAAAGTTATCCTACAAAGTATGATAACATATAAAACTGAGCACTTGTAAATTTGTAATGCATAGAACCACAGCAGATAAACTGTTCCTTACATTAGGTATTTAAGAGGATTTTTCAATATTATTGTCCTACATTAGGAATGGATCCATATACAAGAACATGTCTTTTTGGAAAATCTGATAAAATAAAATCGGAATAATTCAGAGAAGATTGAACAGCCCCCACACAAGGAGATTGGACAGCCCACACACAAAGTATCATTGTTGATCATATAATATATAAACATAAATGCTTCAATTTGGAATCAAAGTCAATCCCATGCCAAAGGTCATGGGTTCAAATTTCTATGCTTGTAGCTCGTAACCGGTCAACTTAGGCTTTTAGTTGAGTTGGAACACATACTTCAATTATCAATATACAATAACAGCTCCTGCATTTGTATTAACCGAATATATGTTGACATGCATCATTGCAGACAATCAACAATTGGGATTAGTTAACGGTTTCCATTTCCTTCACCTGTCTTTCCCCTAATTAATTTTGCAGGAATTTAAAAAAAAAAATAAAAAATTGTGATATCTTTCTAAATCCAGATCAATTGACTTTGCAGTCTAGTAGAGATGCAATTGTTGCAGTAATAGAAGTCTAGAGCACTATTTTGAGCAATGAATTTTAGAAGACTCTACAAATCACAATAACAAGATCACGCAAAACACACAGCCAAGTTAAGCAGAGCAGAATCAAAAAGTTCCAAACGGTGATCAGAACCGCGATAGCTTACAAATTACAAATGGAAGGTCTAGGATAGTGGTAGTAAAACTTACAAAATGCGGCCGAGTTTCTCATCAACAGTAATTGACTCCTCGGAGAGCACACTGAGCTGCTCCAGAGAATACGGATGCTCCGGATCCCTTATATCCCTCACAAAATGTATCCATTCCAGGTTAAGGATTCTCGGTTGAATTTCAAGTCAATCGCAGCTAATTTTCTAGAAAAAACAACGCAAATTTAGGCGAATAATTTATCAGCTTAAGTAAACACAGAATCCGAGAGAGGATATCATAGATGTCCAGAGGATCAACGGCGTCTTCTGCGTGGGGATCTTCGGAGCGAGCGACTCGCTCCTTCTTGGCGTGAACCACCGGGTTCGCATTGATCAGCCCTAGCGTCATCTTCTTCTTCTGAGTCCTCTTCTTCCTTGTTAGGCTGGGTTCACGGGCACTCTGAATCGTGAGGCTTTGGAGAGGAGAAAATGCTTCGTCGTCTTTTTGTTGTCAACTGAATGACCAATGGATCATTGACACATAAGACGCGGCAATGCTGTTGCTCTACACGTACCGTTGCCTGACACGACACTTCTTGACCATCAATAAAATAAGTTTTAACTGTATGAGAGTCTCTAGTATGGTAGCAAAAAGGTTCCACCGAGTCTTGAACTCGGGTTACTGGATTCAGAGTCCAATGTCCTGACCACTAGACCATGAAACCGTTGCTTGACACGACACATCTTGACTCATCTATATACTAATACTCTGTATTTGTTTTCCCTAATAAAATAAAATTCTAAAGTTTTAACCGTATAGAGTCTTAGTATGGTAGCAAAAAGGTTCCACCGAGATTTGAACTCGGGTTACTGGATTCAGAGTCCAATGTCCTGACCACTAGACCATGGAACCATTTGTTCTCTTTTGTTCAATTAATAAACTTGACCATGAAATATTTCTTTTCATTTTTTGGAAAGCACATTGTATAGTAAATTAATACCATTATTTCATTAATATAACCATTATATTAAACTTTTATATGCTTATTTATTACTTCAATCATCATTTTTTTTACATACCTACCACAATTAACATCGTATCTGATGGATGGGGTACTACTACTAAGGCAAGCTGGTAGGTCACGTACTGGTCAGTCGAACACTGTTTCCAGATTATAGCGCAATGTGAACAACTTGAGGAGTTTAGCAGACGATATACATAGGGAGGGGCCCATGACCCGCGGACCTACTATATTATTCTCTATACTCATTATTTTAACGATAGTGTTGGTCCGTGGTCGACTTACTCGACTACATATTAGTCATGGTTGGTTTTAGGGTTTTTGAACCCAAGGAAGTCCAACACAACCGTAGTTGGTGGACCGATCAAATAAAGCTATGAACTCAAAGAAATTAGACACCATGATTTTGACGTGGAAATCGAAAGGTGAAAACCACGGACCTTTTTGGGTGGTGCCAAGCCTAAATACTTCACTATTTTTCTGGGTATTGTATATGTATTATGGCTATTTTGTACATGTATTTCGGTAATGTGTATAATTTGTACATGGAAACAGAGTCTTCTTCTTGATCTTCTTATTGGGAGAGTGAAAGAGTGTGGATGATGAGACCTTCTTGTTGAGGAAGAGTGGTGGAGTCTCCTCTTGCATGTGGAAAAATGGAGTCTTCGTTGGAGAATGGTGTAGGAAGAGTCTTCTTGTTTGCAAGAGTGGAGAGTGGTTGTGGAAGAGTGATATGCCTTCTTAGGGCTGGGCACGGGTCGAGTTCGGGTTTAACCCGTGCCAATAGTGGTCACCCGAAATATTTCGGGCCTCTTATATTAAAATCCGAAAACCGAACCGAATATCTTCGGGTATTTTCGGGTTCGGGTGTTTCGGGTAGGGTTTAGAGCGGGTCGGGTCTGACAAACCCGAAATTGTAGCATTGTTCCAAAAAACTTCGAAAATTTTGAAATTCAAATTTTCATGAAGAAATTTCTAGAAGCAAACCAAAATTTTTAAAACCAATCTATTAAAATAAAATATAAATTTTCAAACTTGAATCTTCAGCAAGAAATTTCTAGAAGCAAACCAAAAATTTTAAAACCAATCTAATAAAATAAAATATGTAAAACAATAAAAACAATAAATACACTATTCTACATGACAACCCAAAGGGCAAAAAACCTTAGCTAGTTAATTTCAAATTTACAATCACCAAAAAAAGACAAAACTAAACAAAGCATAAAAAATAAGATTTGAAGGAAAAGCTGAGTGTTCTGTATTGGATATAGTTTGCTCCCCTAAGCAAATATTGATCCACTGATCTGCTAGTAGACTTCTACTCTCATTTGTCTGCTCATTTGAACCCCTACAACAAACAACAATAAAGATAGTTTATTGTGAAAGTTCATATATGAATTCCAAAATGCTAATTATGCTATGATACTTGATAGTTGATACAAATTAAACACACAAATTGAAAGTTTAAATATAATGCATGGAGGTTACTTCATTATTGTTATAGCAGCAGTTTGCCAGTTAGTAAAAACACATTACTCTAAAGTTCTAAGGAGAAACTAATAAAAATATCCTAGCATACATAAAATTGATAAAAAGAAAAAAAAAATCATTACTGAAAAAGAAACTCAAAAACTCAAAAGGCATATAATAAAAACTCATAAAAGTCAGTAAATTAAAAAAAGTTATAAATTCAAAAGTTATAAGTTAAGTCAGGCTTTAAAAATTAAGTCAGTGGAGGCGTTATTAGCTCTTTGTGTTTCAGTAGGTTGAGAAAGTATATGAACAGATACTACATTGTAATAGAGCTAGTAGCATTCAAAAAAAAAAAAAAAAAAAAAAAAAAGGCTTTAACACTTAAAAGTATAAATTCAATTCAGTAATGCTATAATGGAGCATGGATAAAGGACACTTACTTTTGTAGGCTAATCTAAAACTAATGCAAATCTGGACTATGGACATCTCAATAGTCTCAAGAAGAGTCACAACTTGTTGATTGGAACTCTGGAAGTGAAACAGAGAGTTAAAATTAATACTGCACAAATCTTGAGTTTTATAGCATTGCTTTTGAGACTAACAGAATATACAAAAAATGGGCATAATTGCATAATTATAGAATTATAAACTTATAGTTACAAGCAAAATTGTAATTTATGTATTTATGAACACAAATTTTTTTAAGTACATTTTTTTTTATTCACATGTTATATGGATAGACCTGATCCAAACAGAGAGTCTCTGTGCTCATATACCCAAATGAGATCCAATAGCAGCTCAACAAGTTGGATTCCAATGTTATGCCAATAAAAGGAAATCATGGTAAATTAAAGAAAGATATGCAAATATGGTAATTTGGTAAGGTGAATCATGTTTAAGTACAAACAATTGATGATGTAGGGCTGTAATTTAAGTAAGATATTGGGATATCCTTTCCTAATACAGTTTTAGGGTGAATCATGTTTAAGTAAAAAGTTAGAAGAACATTAAAAACACTATAATACAGTTTTTTTATTGAAAAAAAATTATATGACCAACTACAAATTTTGAAAATAAATCTTAGTTAAATTAATACAAAAGGAAAAATTTTCAAAAACTTTGGGAAGTCTTAAAATTTTCATTCACTGAGAAACAAATGAAAAAACAAACTAAAGTAAAAATAAGTACCTTTTTCTCCTAGTATATTTTCATGGCCAGAGGCCCAGAGACGGTAAAGCACTAAAGCCTCAATGGAGATCTCCATGGATCTGTAGAGAGCCAGATGCTAAGAGGTCTGAGGGGACTTACCGAGAGTGATTGAGCGAAGGCGAGACTCGAAAGTGAGAGAATCAGAGCCTGAGAAAATTTTCCAAACATGGTTAAAACATATATTTTTCTAGAAAAAAAAATGAAAAAAAAAAACTATTAAACTACCTGTTAGAGTGTTAACGGCCTTGGCCTTTGCGTCGGAGAGTAGCGGACCGCCGGTCACCGGAGAAGTGGAGGAGTCTAAGCCTATCTCCACAGAGGAGTACGATTTGCAGTCCAAGGGAGAGGGAGAGGCAGAGGCCAGAGAGGGTGTGAAAGGTGAGGGATGAGATACTGAGATGAGTGAGATTTGAGAGACAGAAAGAATAGAGAAGAGAGGCCTGGAAGTCTCAAGAGAGAAAGGGGCGGAGAATGAAGATGGATGGGAAGTAGCGAGAGAGAGAGGAGGCGGATGAGAGATCAGTATGTATTCTGTAACCCTAAGCCCTTACTATCATTTATATAATACCCATGTATTACGGGTTTTGGGTCGAATCCGAAATGAATATTACAAATCCGAAATCCGAACCGAGCAACAACATATCAGCTAAGTTTTACTCGGGTTGGACCCGATCCGGGTCGAATCCGACCCGGAATGTGCTTTTTCGGGTCGAACCCGTGAAATTTCAGGTTTGACCCGGAATGTGCCCAGCCCTATGCCTTCTTATGGGAGAAAGAATAGCGTGGTGGGGGAAGAGTCATGTGAGTAGAGTCTACTCCAGGTAGATGTCCCCCACTTTATGCTTCTTGAATGTTCTTTTATAGTAGTAGGATGACATTATAGCCGTTAGGCCATTAGTAGGGAATTTATGGGTGGGTTTAATTGGGTAGTAAATAGGAGTTTATATAGGGGGTTATAGATAATAATAATAATAATAATAATAATAATAATAATAATAATAATAATTAGGTAATTAATTAGTGGTAATGAGTGGGGTAATAATTAGGATATTTTGACCGGATTTGTGTAATCCAATTGGGGCTAAGCGGTTTAACTGGGTCCAAATATCGGGTATCCATCCGTCTTAAAATCAAGAACATCATTGTTACATGTTTTCCTACTATGACTTTCAACGTTATGATTACACCTTCCACGTCTACTTACATATCTACTTGTATCATTGTTTTTATTTATACTTATTTTAACCGATATTATTTGTGACACGTGACTCTAGTTCTACCCTTGAGCCCACACCATTTCTGAGTGGCTACTCTATGCCAAATCAAGATACATCTAGAGCTATATGCTTAACCGAATAACCGCACCTTCACTCTATTCATCTTGACTTCTAACCCTTCTAATTTCAAGAATCAATTGAGTTTCTTTACTGAATAGTAAATTCCCCTAGGGAGGGGTAGGATAGCAATTTTGCTTTTTTAAAAGGAAAATGAAAGCCCCATGGCCCCACCGATGTTTACTTGTTGAGGGTTCGGGTTTAAGACGAGCGCCGCAATCGTAGCGTCAAATCGACCGCCGACGGAGCGACCATGACTGACCAGAGTAACAACCCCATTGACGCCGAAGATTCCGACGAGGTCAACCCCTTCACAATGCTCCTTCCAGGAGAAGAAGTCAACAACGAATCAGCTCCTCTTCAACATCAACGCTACAATCTGCAATCAATCGACTCCGCCATATCCATCAGGCAGCTCCCTTCTCAAGGCCTTTCCTTCCAGCTCTGGCCCGCCGCCGCCACTCTCGTTAACCTCCTCGACGGCCGCTATGACCTTCACCCTAGCCTCTCCGCCTTGCTTGCGGCTGGAAAGCCCCTCCGTGTACTAGAGCTCGGTTCCGGCACTGGCGTGGTGGGAATAGCCGCGGCGGCGACGCTCGGAGCTAGCGTCACCGTCACGGACCTCCCTCACGTCCTCGCCAACATTCAATTCAACATTGACCTAAACTCCGGAGTCCTGGAAAACCACGGCGGCGCCGTTGACGTGGCGGCGCTTTCCTGGGGGGAAATGGAGGATATGGAAGCTATTGGGAGAGAGTATGATCTGCTGCTGGGATCTGATGTAGTGTATTACGATCATCTCTATGATCCTCTGCTCAAAACTCTGAGATTCTTCCTGTTAGAAGGCGAAAGGAAGACGGCGTTCGTTATGGCTCATCTGAAGAGATGGAAGAAGGAATCGGCGTTCTTCAAGAAGGCTAAAAAGGTGTTTGATGTTGAGATCATACATAGCGATCCTCCATTGGATGGATCTCGTATTGGCGTCGCCGTTTACCTGTTCGTCGCAAAGTCCATTGACAAACGATCATCGTAGCTAAGAGCAACCAATAGGGGATCTTTGATGCATTTGGTACAGTAAAAAACTAATGTGTTTGTTTTCACCTAATATGAAGGTTGATTTTTTGGTTGAATTTTGATTTTTACTGCCGCCAGCTGGCAGTTAATCTGAAATGGTTGTCTTTGTGATTTTTATTTTCTAAAGAAACCGCCAATCTTTTTTTTTTTTAATGTGTTAAAATATTTTTAAATTTAATTTTGTTTTAGAATATTTAAAAATTTATACAATATAAATATAGTATATAATTTGATACCATATTATTTGTTTAATTAAAACTTCAACTATTGAGATTGTCCTAAATTCTAACAATCTTTTTGATTAACGAGAAAGTGAGAAAGTACGTTTTGAGTGAAGCCGTAGCCAATGATGATCTTAAAACTGAAAAACGAAAAAAGGACTCCTCTTAAGAAATTATATACATGTTCTGCCGCAATGCAATGCTGCAACTATCTGTTGTCCCTTTGAAAGTCAGTTGGCCAAAATTTTGCAGTGTGTGAAACTACTAATCATCAAATAACTGATATTACAACATGATCATCAACTTCTACAAAAGTGAAACTGTTTCATTGGCTTAATTTTCGGGCTTTAAGGAAATGAATACTTCTCACGAAGCCTTTCCCGACTTCACCAACAGATTTCAGTATATCAAGTGGATCTTCGCCCTCGGCCATGGAATCCCTTTCTCGTTTCTGGAGTAAGCACACACAAGGATTAGGATGGTAAACAGCGACGAGAAGTTAAAGTTTAATATATTGTATTCTGCATACCTTTGAACTAGCTTTTCCCCAAGTGAGACCGATGGCATCACCACCCAACGAGTCATACCATATCTTGAACGTGTCTGGAAATTCTCTCTGCAGAAAAGCAACCGTAACCAATTTGAAACAGAAAAGAAGCAAAGCAATGTCCAAGAGAAAATGTCGGGGCTAGGCTAGCTCATACCTCAATTTCACTAATAAAGCACCTCAGTGGATCAAAGTTCACCATCAGCTTAGATTTCAATTCCTCAGACCTCCTCCCTCTGAGGTCTGCGGGAACAATGAAAGGATGGAAAATCTTGGTTGGTTTGCCATGCAACACACACCGTCCTAAAATAAAACAACAATGGTATTATATTTCAGAAGTTTTATTAGGAGGGAAGAAGATACAGAGAAAAAGTTACTGAAAAAAACCTTGTTTGAGTTCAGATGGGAAAAGAAGATGGTGTGGATAGGGTAATTTGTCTCTGTGAAGGAGAACAACGGCATCATAATTGTTTAAAGGTGTGCGGAAAAGGCACTGCAAGTCGGAAAAGAACACTATAATGAGTGATTCAGTTGAGCAAGTATCAAATAATTTAAAGAGCAAGATGTGCAGATACTAAGCTCACCTTCCAGCCGTCAGAATCACATTCATCTTGGGAAATCAGTTTGGTCAGCAAATTTGCACTGCTAGTTGCATATGCTACTAATCTCTTAAGCTCCTTGTAAACAAAGCATGTGCATTAACTTCATATAGTAATACTCAATTAATAATAATATAATAATAATAATAATAATAATAATAATAATAATAATAATAATAATAATAATAATAATAAAAGATCACTTGGGCGGTGGGATCAGCTTCAGCCTTCAGGCTGAACTGATATATCTCTTAAAAGAAAGGGAGGTTATGGCTCTGAAAAGGGTTAAAAGATGACAGATTTTTCATAAAAATTGGAATTTTTAAAGTAATTTCTGTACTTAAAAAGCAGCTGAGCTTATATCCCTTATGACTTACGAGAAGGTAGCCACTGATTCTTTAAAAATAAAGATAGGGAATATTGACTTTATAGAGAAACTATACTTACTGTCATTGCTGGTGTTGATCTGGTCCAAGCTTCAGAGGCAAGGTCATATTTAGTAGCCAAAAACATTGCTGGACTTACATCATGCATCTTTGTTTCTGATTCTTCTCTGCTTTTTTTAAAAGCCACCTGTCAAGTACATTGATACACATAAACACACATAACACAGGCCATGCAGAACTGTTACCGCATAAAAAAGAGGGCAAAATGAGGGTCGGGATGGGAAGGAACAAATCAAAACAGAAAGTTCATGGAAGTTAATGTTAAGTTGGCACTTGCATTGATTTCCTTCATATCCTTGGTTGTAAAATCACTTCCTTCTTGCTTTTCCTCATTGGTAGAAACACCATGAAAATCAATGACCAGAGGAGAAAACATCCAGTCATATTCTGACAATAATCTCAAGAACCTGTTTCAGATAGAGCATTGAAATTAAAGCGACCAACTTGCAAGAAATACTTGACAGATGTAGCAAGTGCAATTGTGTGGGTGTGAGAGAGAGCACAGCAACTTGTACAATAAATGCCACCTAAACTATCGTAGTCTACCTTAGGAATCCAGTTATCCGAGAGCAAGGAGGATCAAATGGCAAAGGACTCAGAAAACAATGAGCTACCAACAACTCAATGGCCTCCTCTGCCAACAAGGTGGAAAAGAGATGTGCAGATACCCAGCGTTTTGCCAGACTACAAAATAAAGAGAAATCTTTCAAAAAAATAAATAAATAAAGAGAAATTATAAGCCTTGAAGCCAAGGAAAGGTGAGAGAGCAGGAATTCAGGAAGGGTGGAGTGAAATTCTCACCGAACAACTGGCCCATAAATTGGATAACAACCTCGTAAGCCATTGATCTTGCCTGCATGAATGTTACGTAGGAGGAGCTTTTTATCTGCAGAGAGTACCCACTTCGACTGACCAGAATTAACTACCAAGCAAAAAGAAATCCCATGAGTACATGATAGTATGTTTTTTCTTTAAGTAATATATACAACATATAACCATGACAAGCAAGAAGTACCATACTTTGCCCATTTACCAAACTCAGAGCTCTCTCATGCAAAATTTTAAGGCGGAATGCAAATCCAGACATTAGAACCTCCACATCATCCTCCGTTGCTGTACATGTCATCCCCCAATTGTTCTGAAGACTGTCATGAGAATGAAATTGGAGAAGTCAATTCCTAATTGATATAGCAGTCATTTCAAGGGAAAGCATCAACAAAGACCAACCTTTCCCCAATATTAAGAAGAAATGCAGATTTTGTCTTCTCTATAGCAACTTCATCCATTGGCCAATTTCCTGAGCCTTCCAGCTATTAACAATGCATTCAAAATAGTCTTGAAAAATACCATTTGGATAAAACAGGAAAAAGAAAGTACAGAGCAACTATCCATGCCTGGATTGCAACTTCAAGTGGCCGTAGACAGGTAGAAATAGGCTTCTGTAGTTTTGTGCCAATACCCTTTTCATATGCCAGAGGATGGGGTGCAGGGGGGAAGACTGAAGTCAGCCTGAAAGCTGTGACTAATGGTTAGTGCATTGGAAATTTAAGTTCCAACATGTATTTAGATGGCTTAACTCAATGGACATATACAGATATACACATGCACAAAAGAGATCTACAAAATATAAATGTTTTGGCACCATGAAGTATGTGAAAGGTATAGAAAAGAAGTACAAAAGTACCAAACAAGAATACACATACACAAAGAAAGCAACACTCTCTAAGATATCCACCCCTTACTCTACTGAGAAGGATAAGTGCAATAGGTAACTTTAGTTTGGTTTTTTAAACAAAGCTACAACTATGCTTTGTTGTATGCCTCATACACACACACACACACACTCAAAAGAAATATACATATGAACATATTCAATAAAATCAGTAACATAAAAGAACAAGGATCTAACTCTTACTTGCACTTGCCTGACCTTTTCATCTTTAGTTGGGGAAAGGGAGATGGAGGGCATAAAGAATGTAGTTAGGATGCCAGAGTAAAGAAAACAAACCTGGGTCAAGAGCTTGAACGCTTGACACCTTCAAAGGAATATCATTTAGTTGACGCAAACGCTTTGATAGCTCTTCAAATGCTCCCAAAAGAGTAGTTGAGAAAGATATAGGATCTAAAATTTGTAAGCTTGTTTCAATTTCTTAGCACTCTTCAAGATTAGAGATTAAAAAAAAAAAAAAAAAAAAAAAAAAAAAAAAAAAAAAAAAGCAGTTAATAGCCATACCTAAATCCTTCTGGAGAAGAGTGAAATCAAGTTGGCCAGCAATGGGAATGATATTCTCTTTGGTAATAGATAAATGGCGTGATAAAACATACTCAACTATATCTTTCATAATGAGATGCTTTTCCCACTCATTACACTCCCATACTGGATAATGCATGGCCCATGTTAATACTCTCTTAATTCTAATCATGAAAGACAAATAACCATTATTATGATCACCTTACCTGCAACTTCAGCAATTCTATTATCACGAAACTGCCGTAGTGTTGCCTTATCTCCCCAGAACTTCCGAAACTCTAGAGCCTATCATCACATATGACAAAAGAATATTATTTCCCCAAGTCAAAACAGTAAAGAAGTAATATCAGTAAGTACCTTATCTTTTTCCTCATGACTAGGGCCCATGATAACCTTCTTAAAGGCTGCCTCAGCAGAGCTGACTGAAATCCCAATAAGCAATGGTTCTCCATCCCATAATAACATCCCCTAAAAGTATTAACAATTACAAAAATACAATATATATATATATATATATGCAAAATCTGACATTATAGGTTAAGTACAACTGAGAAATACTACCTCCTCCAAATTGCATCCATACACAGTATTTTTCCAAATAACACGAACAACCTTAGATCTGTCTGTCAACCCTTGATTCAAGACAGAAAGAACCTTGTTCTCATAAGATCTCCAACATTCATCGTCCAAACAAAATCCCAATTTACGGAAGTCATGGTGTCCCTGCAGATTCAATCTAAAGAGTTGCCAAGAATCAATGAGTTGTTATATAGCAAAACTTAATAATTGATAACTATTTCATTTGGCAATTAGCTGTAAATAGTAGCATAATGATTATATATTGCCCCCTCCCCCCTCCCAAAAAAAAAACTTGCAGAACCCTAGGATCTATAATTAAGAAATCCCATCCTTCTCTAACAGGCAAGGAAAACTAGAAGAAAAAAAAAAAGGAAAATAATTCAGAGATTCAAGTCATGGCAGATTTTGGCAGT